ATGGTCACTCATCTCTGCTGTCAGAAACAGGGTTGTTGGGTGTAAGGCTATCTATAGTGGACGCAGTTAGAAGAACTCTGCGGAGGTGGTTTCCTCTTTATGGGCGAGGTGCTTGCTTGGGTAGAACAGGCCGTCCCCAGAATGGGGAGGCAATGTGACGGAGTACGGCATATGCCCGAGTATGCAACCTGCACTGAGGTGTCAGAAGTGGGATTGTCTGATTGCGCATAAATGTCGACCACACGCCGGTAGCGTTAACTAATTCCAAGTACAAAGCAAGAGATGGCACTGAAAGTTTACGCTTCAAGAGTCCAGACGGAAAGAAAGTTTGATCCTTCCAGGTGTTGAAGCTTCTGTTCCTCGAGCTTGCCACTCGGCGTCCATCTGGTCTGTCAGCCGGCCCCTTTAAAGCCGGATAAAACTCTAAGCGGCAGAGACAAGGGAAGAAGCAGTACAGGCTGAAAAGTAGAAAGTGCTTTTTTGTTTTTTTTTTGCATCACATTCCAAAGTGATTTTTTGTACCCCCAAATGCTGCACTTTTTCTTCTTTTTTTTTTTTTTTACCTTATTTATTGCTTAATTCCCTTGGCATCACCTTTCACATTTCTTCATCGAGGAGGGCAGCAGAGCAACGTGTGCTTTTGATTTGGCAACAGAGAGGCCAGAGAAACGTCTGCCAGAGGAAAGAACAGCTAAGCGAGGATTAGGAGGTCTAATCTGAGTAAAGGAGGGTGTCCGAAAGCCCGAGATGACACTTGGGACATCTGTGTGGCCGCCTGCTCCAGCCATGTGAGCGCTCAGCGCTGGACTGAAGCAGGAAAAAAAAAAAAAAAAAAAAGAGGAGGAGCCCGTGGGGATTGTTGTCTATCCGCCAAGGCCAAAAAAGGAAAGCAAAACACTGTGGATCAAAGAGGTTGATCCCCCATGTGTTGTGTGTGTGGGATGAGTCGTACGCTCATCTGGAAAGGTAAAAACACTAGTAAGATATAAATAAGATATTAAAAGTACAATGATTAAAAAAATAAATAAATAAAGCTGTCATAGTCCATTTTTACAGTTTGCAAATCTTCATGACCGCCTGCAATAAATCAGCCCAACACAAGCTGATGCGTTGACAAGGCGTTCATGACCGCTTGATCTATCTTCTACACGTAACCACTTGTGCAATCACTCCAGGAGAATGTGCAAATAAGCACACACACCCACAAAGACGTACACACAGTCACTGGGTGCAGCACATACTGTTCTCCTTTCTCATATGTCAGTGATTTGAAAAGTCCTGGAACAATAAATCCAGAGATTGTGCTCAGTTTTCTTTGTCCCCCCCCCCCTCACCCCACCCCTCAACTTTGAAGTGATGATTCGAAGTATAGTCCTGCCCAATTCGTTCCTGGACTGCTGCTCAACTTTGAATTTGCTTATATTTTCGAAGACATTTTTCCAAGAGCAAATCATGGAAACGATCTCTTCGAGTCAAAATGCGGCCACCATGATAGTATAACGGTACAGGCAATCTTTTGGGAAACATTTTGCAAAAGTTAGGATACCTACTCTATCTATCTATCTATCTATCTATCTATCTATCTATCTATCTATCTACTAGTATAGTATTGAGCTACAAAATGAAAAAACAACAAAACATCTTCCTTAGAAGTAAATAAGGCTGGGCTCTTTTTGAATGTGGATCCGTCTGCTCTTTGTCACCCCCCATGTATCGTTCCTGTAAGGAGGAAACTCCGTTTCCTAATCTTCAGCCAAGCGTTTGTAACTCTGACCACTTTGTACTGACTTCTTGTAAAAAATGCTTTAATTCTCTAATTTGTGGAAGTGGTCAGAAAACAGACTCTTAATGGTTCCAGTAGTTTTGTTGGAACGGTTTGGAAAAAAAGGCCATGCGTCAGATACCTTCTTTGTTCTTCAGGGCCAACTGGGCAAACTCGGACCACCCACCTTTAACCATTAACCTGTGAAACAAAGACCCCGCTTGTTTCCATCGCCTTATTGCCTATTGCCTTATCTAGTGACATTATCATCTCTGCAGATAAGTGTGTGTCACATAGGGCAGAGTAATAAAGCGTCAGAATAAATACAAAAAAAATAAAATAAAATAGTCAGGCTGTCTACGTTTTCTAAGACTTATAAGTCATGTGCCAAAGATAGGAGGGTTGAAGGTTGGAATCATGGATGGAAAAAAAAAAATCTGTACATCGGGACTGGTTGTTGAAGCGACGTCATGGCTGATCATCATGCTTCTGACACTGCTTCGGAACCAACTTCTCACCCACATTTGAACATGATTTGAGCCAGCCTTACAGTATGAAACCCCAAACTTGTCATTGTTGAACTGTTCTACTTTTCCACTGTCTAAATAGAGAACAGAAACTTGTATGTTCCCTCTCTGTAAAAGTTAAAAGAGCCTGTTGAGTGAATTCAGAGGTTTATTTCGAAATACTTCATACATGTTTGCAGATAATTGCTTCAAATGTGATTGTATCATTGGCTACCCGACGCAATTGTGACATGTAGTTCGCTTGCCCATGACGAAAATGCATCTTTCTTTCGGACAGTCTGCTGAAGTGGGCCGTGAATGGCTGCGCGCCAAGGAGAGAAAGTTGAAAGAGCAAGGAGGGCGGGGAAGTCAGACTAAAGTTGTGATCTACTTTTTTTTTTTTTTTTGCACGAACGGAGTCACAATTAGTCACACTGTGTCACGTTTGTGCCTTATACGAAAAAGGACGGCAGACGCAAGAGGACACTTTCTTTGACCTCCAACTTTTAAAATCTCCAGCTGCAGCACGACCTTAACATTAAAGATGTCAGCTTTGATTGCATCTCTCTCTCTCTCTCTCTCTCTCTCTCTCTCTCTCTCTCTCTCTCTCTCTCTCTCTCTCTCTTTCTCTCTCTCTGTCTCTCTCTCTCTCGCCCCCTCCAGGATGAAGCATCCCACTGGCTTCCTCACAATATCCATGCACCCCATGGTATGAGTCAAATATCGTTTTCCCAGCGTGATACACTTTCTTCTGAGTAATTAAAATCAGCGCCCCTAATTATACTAATATGAAAACGGAGGTGTGGGAATAATTATCCTCCTATAGTGACAGTATAATAGGTTGGTGACATTGTGGTTGACTGCTGTATTTATAAAATCCAACATTTCTCCCCATGATATGACCCCCATTTTTCTTTTCAATCTGCTTGACATCGCACACCGGGCGTCGTAGCGGGGACCAAATCAACCTCCTTTGCCGCATGGTCGTGAGCGGCGAGCAGGCAGCTCAGTCCAAAGGAGCAATGATGTCAGCAGCTTGCGTCAAAGTCTCAAGGGGGCACGTTTTACAATCCCCAGAGCCTGACTGAGCCGTCCGTTGAAATCACACTTTGCACTAATCAAATCTGCACCACAAGCCTACGGGGTGGGTCTTCAGCATGAACTTGAGGGACATTCGCTGACCAGTTCAATTCCTTTCAATATACAGAGGGAAACCAGTCTGCATTATGCGGAATGGACCTCAGTCACAGACACACAGTAGCTAAATGCTAAAAGGAGATTATCCAAACTATTTCTTCAGAAAACAAACACTGTACTGTAATTTGCTGCTTTCAAATGCACCTCCAAACATCAATTCGCTTAGTGACACGTTAGATTTAGAATCAAAATGATTTGTCAGATATTGTATTTATTGTAGTGTAGAACATTAACTCAGACTGAATTACTAAAGATTTTATTATAATCGAATTGCTTTAGGCTAAAGCCTCAAATTAATAAAAACAGCAAGTCTCATAAGGGCCATTCAATATTGGCAATCGTTCTTTGCTGACTCTGGTGAGCATGTGGCAGTTGAAGTAGTTTTTTAAAAAATCCTGCAAACAGTCAAAACAATCTAGATGCATAATTCACTAACGAATATGGTCAAATCAAGACAAAATTGTCACTGAAAGTGACCCCACAAAAAAAAAACAACCATGCACACACACCAAAACAGTTCCTTTTTGATCATCCCACAAATTTAAATAAAGTCATTATTGCGTAGCTCTTCCAACAAATGTACAATCTAACCTAATTTAGAATAGAACCAAATCGGCCAATTTAACAGATGCTGCGCATTTTTTTACTGAGGAAATAAGAAACATAAAAAATTGCCCCCCCCCCCAAAAAAAAATTGTCATTACAAATATCCATTCATTTGTTATGTTCAAACATATTTATCGTCTGAGTGAATCATACATACTTCTTAGATGCATGAAGAAACCAAAAGGAGTAAACATTCCCAAAACGTGTGGACATTGCCGAAATAGTGATTGCATAGTAACAAATGTGTGCTTTGCACCTCCCAGTTGAGGGAAGTGAGAACAGCCAATAGACATAAACAGCATCCACATCACACTGGGCTTGCAGAGTATGTCCTTGAAGTGATTCAATACAGTCGTGACTGTTCAATGGAGGTGACCAATATCATTTCTGAGCACTGATCGATCACCCCCCCCACCCCCCCCATCGGCTTATTGCAAAGGCTCGACTTTACTGGTTTGTGCAACTGGCCCAAGATGAATTGCTTACTGACGCTCGCATGCATGGTTGCACACACACACACACACACACACACACACACACACACACACACACACACACACACACATTAAATGAGTCAGCTGGCTCGCGTTTCACATTCATACTCGGTTGCATCACAGACATGCACAAAATGTAACAGCGCGTTTGCTTTCACAATGGATATCCACAGGAAAGAACATCCACCCATAAAATCATACAGTCATTATTCTGGGAAGTCTTAAGCAAATAAAATCCCCATCAAAGAACTTGGCGATATTTATGAGGAATGGGTGCGTGGGTGTGCGGTAACGGTTGGATCGCGGGAGGTTGGTTGCTTGAAATGTAGAGCTTCGGTCAAAAAAAGGTTGGGCATCATAAAGATGTCATTTCTTTCAGTACATGTTAAATATTTCAAAAGCATATATATTGCCATATGCAATACACACATTGCATGTTTTTCCCATCTTGAGCAACCCTACTTAAAAACCATGACATTTATAATGTGTGGCTTCTTTGTATTTCATCTCATATCCCGAGGTCAGGCTGAGTGTCAAAGCAAGTTAAAATATGGTCACCCTTCGTCTATGGTTACTTGACTTGTTTCACATCGCACAGACAGTGCGCCGTTGTTTCCAACAAGTTCACGTCAGGCTGGTTCACATACACTACAGGGGCGCTGCTGCCGAAGCGAGTTAGCGTGGCGGGATTGAAGGGAGTGTGAGCTAACCCATTAACCGGTTGGAACTACGAACACACAAACACTGTGTCTGTATGGTATTTACGTCAGTGCGGTTCTCTCCTCCTGAACAACGCCTGCAATACTAGGAGAGTCAGCCAGACAGGAATCAGGACTGGGAAAAGAAAAACACGCCACTGAGGATGCACATACAAACAAGGCATACAAATGAGATTACAACGGTGGCCTTTCCACTCAGGTGACAGGGATAAGATTCATACAAAGCTGCCACAATCCACAACATGACATCTGCTATAATCCTCCTTGGCATTAAGAGCGCGAGCACAGCTGAGCGATGATAACAGGTGCCACGTCATGTTCAAGGCCGGATTAGCCTGCATGTGTCTTGCAAACATGTGCAAAAGGACTCAGAATATTTTTTTTAATTGAGCAATTTCAGGAATGACGTCTACTGTTCGGGATTTCAACCTACCCCTGCTGGAACTTGAAACCTCCGAGTGGATTAAACCTGCAAAAACCAACACATGAAAGCATATCGACCAGATTTAAATGGTTATTTCTGCATGATCTCAGAGACTTGTCCGGTGGTGGGTGAATTTGGAACATGCGTTTATTGCAGTTGGTTTTTGCGCAAAGGAAAACGTGTTGACTGACGTGGTCAAAGTGTGAAATTAGAGCGTCTTCAGGCTTTCACAGAATAAAGGCTGACTCACAATTGGAGCTTTGTAATGGTGGAGTGCCCTTGTCCCATTAAATGAAGTTGAATGGGGATGGATTAGTATCACAAACAAAAATATGTGGAGACATTTAGCGGGGGGTTTTTCTCCCGGTCGCAATTGCTTTAGAAGTTTTTGTGTGGTAAAGATTTCACATTTCTTTAATCTGGGGGAAATTAATGGGAGGAATGTACAAGGCCCAACTCATTTATTACCATGATCTTACGAAGACAAGTGATACAGAAAGTGGATGGATTGAAGGATGCATGAATTCATGAACAGTTGAAAAAAAAAAAAGATATTTGGTGATAGTGGGCCTTGAGCATGGTAATAGACTGCCGTCTTCATAAAACATTTATTGTGGCTAAAGAAACTTGTTTTGTTGTTGTGTTTTATTTTATTGTTTATTATGCAGTGGTTAGTGTGTCGACCTCACAGTGCAGAGGTACCGGGTTCAATTCAAGCTCCGGCCTCCCTGTGTGGAGTTTGCACGTTCTCCCCAGGCCTGCGTGGGTTTTCTCCGGGTACTTCGGTTTCCTCCCACATTCCAAAAACATGCATGGCAGGCTGATTGAACACTCTAAATTGTCCCTCGGTGTGAGTGTGAGCACGGATAGTCGTTCGTCCCTGTGTGCCCTGCGATTGGCTGGCAACAGGTTTAGGGTGGCCTCCCCCTCATTCCCCAAGACAGCTGCAGTGACGGGCCGTGCATTTCAACCGAGGATAAAGCGGATCGGAAAATGGATGGATGGACTTTGCATTGTCTTGATGTTGTTGTTTTTGTCTTTCGTTGAACAAAAAAGGACAGAAAACAAAAAACAAATACCCCCCCCCCAAAAAAAGCAAACCCCAAATGAATCAATCAGTCAATCAATCAATAAATGAATAAATAGACACAGAAATAAATAAATAATAACACTCCAACATCTTGGAGAAAGTTTTCCAAAAGAAATTTGGAATTTTGCCCAGCTCAACTCAGACTCGGAGAATAAGCGTGGCTAAAGTATGTTCATAGGAATAGGTTACATCAGACTGTGTCTACAAAGGCCATACTTGTTAGCTATCTGCCATCATGGAGACTCTGTCGACACAGGATGATCATTTCCATGTTCCGTACAAGGCCACCCATTGTGTACTGTATGCTGTACAAAGTAATGTAGGGTTGAATTACGTAACAGTGCAAAAGCCTGAGCTACATGGCCACGACCAATTTACATGGAAACTCCCAAGTGTGTGGAAGTGTTTTTGTTGGCACACAATTGTAATGCTTTAACCTTTCAGCACAAATTTTTCTTTGGCCTTTTTGGTGACACTGATTATAAAAGAAGGAACAGATGGTTGTTTGTCTCCGTGTGTCCCGCGATTGGCTGGCAACCAGTTCAGGGTGTCCCCTGCCTACTGCCCGAAGACAGCTGGGATAGGCTCCAGCACGCCCCGTGACCCTTCTGAGGATAAAGCGGATCGGAAAATGGATGGATGGATGGATGGATGGATGGATGGATGGATGGATGGAACAGAGTGAACAAACTCTTCTAAGAGAAGATGAAACAAGGGGGAGTTGCGTGGGAGTTGCCATGAGAGAAAATGAAAGTACAGGTATTTGATTTTCGTCATATTAAAGTCAACCTAAAAAAAATGTCCATCAGTTTTTCAATTCTTACCATACTTAAAATTTGATTCAAATGTATTCACTCCCAAAGACATACTCACACGTCTTTTTAGACTCCACATGGGTGTCAGAAGGGCATCAGTATATTAAAAAAAAAAAAAAAAACAGAAAACACATTCTTACTTCCAAACAACTGGAAGAAGGAGTAGGGGTGTAACTGTTCATACGGTTTTCTGATTTTCTGTATGGAATATTACACATAAGGAACAGGGAGTGGAACTGTCGTGTGATCTACTCACACGTCTATTCCGCAAACAAATACAATGCGGCTCAGCCTCTGACTAGCGGAAGTCAGGCTCATGGCATGCCTTTGACAGTATGTCCAAAATTCGAATTTTAATTGTCATTCAATTTGTTCTCCTTCCCACAAGAGATGAGCTCTTTCACATTTTTGTCCGACCCAATCCGACTTTAAAACGGTATATGTATAATAAACAGAACCGTGATTTTATTTTAGCCTCACGTTAGCCCCCCTTGCAATACTGTACAGACAACTTAAACAAAATTGTGTGATGAGACAGTGCTTGCGTGTAAAACTCATTAAATACAACAACGTCACGCAAACAAACTCTATGGAGGGGGAGAAAAAAAAGCTTTTAATCATAATCTCTTGGCATAAGCGTGAGTGCTGTGCTGGCGTCAGAGCCAACTGATGTCAGCCCCAAAGCTGCAGCAGCCCCTCCTCCAACCGTTCTCAGGAACACTGCAGGCTGAAGGGCACCCTGATGATTGCACTGTATATAAACGACCTTGGGGCTACTTGTATATCCCCAACTGTATTGCACGGCTACGTTTGATATGAGGTCATTCGATGACAGCGGCGGAAAAAGGAAAATGAACGTGGCGAAACACAGGACGTGGCGATGCGACGCAAGTAGAACAACAGATGGCAAGACAATGTGTGTACGCATGTGGCAGCAGAGCGCGCTTCCTGTCTTCGACGTTGCACACAGTCGCACACAAAAGCACAAATGGTGCAGCACATGTTTCTCAAAGCTGCCTAATCCAAAACTTGGCCGTTGGCTGTGTGAGGCATGGGTTGGGTGAGGTAAGACCTGTCAAAGGGGAGGCAAATCCTTCATATAGTTTGGGAGAACGTGTCATTTGTCCATTTTGTTCCATGCAAAGTGTGGAGAAAAAGGACATAAACAAGAAAAAAAAAACAACATGCCTGTACCTTTCCTTCCTTGAACCAGTTGGGAGTTATATTCTTCCGACACAGGCCTCGAAGCCGCTGTCGTCACAACTCAAAACCAGTGATTAATGCCTTTTCCCGTCACATGTACCCCTCTCAGAAATCCCGTGACTATTTCGACATAAACAACTTAACTCCAGGGGACAAGCAATATTTACAAGTTGTTTGTGTTTTGGTTCATTTGTTCGAGATGAAAGGATGGAAATCAAGTTAAAGCATTGCCATTATAAAACCTTTAACAGCGCAGAGGAAATGCGTAATGTTTCAAGTGCGCTTCAAGTTGAAAAACATAAGATCAAAATTGTTCCAAAAATGCTTGGGTCAGAACAGGGTCAATTGTCTGTTTGCCAGTAGGAGCTTCAAACTACATGCATGCATATGGAGAGTGATATTACAATGGAAACGCCCCTAAACGCATACCGTCGTGGACTGAAAAATTCTGTTTGTTTAAAAATGGATCGAGGTCACTGCTAGAACCTTTTACGGTTCCAAAAAGTGTCTAAGGTACCAAAGAAATGACATTTCCATGCATTTTAAAGGGTCCCAACGAAATGTACACGATCATGTACACATGTCACTTGCTATAACCGTGATGTAATCACCTTTATTGTGTCACATAGGATTGGGCATAGCCTGATGTCTTTCAGTATTCAAGCTCGAGTTGTTCAGTAACACGTCCGAACGTCGTGTTTTCTTTCATGCCTTTTGAATCCAGTCCTGCTCTTTGTTGTTACTTTGGATTTTTGCATATAAAGACTTTTTTTTATTTTGCCACATCTGTGTCCTATCTGCTTCTGGGTCCAAATGCTGTTCCTCATATGACATCATCAATACTTTTCTGGTGGACACATTTCGGAGTGGTACGCTACGCTTCATTCCGCATTTTGGTGGAGCGAAGCAATTTGCTGTCCATTGATTGCTTGACAAAAGAATTGCACGCCTTATTCATTGGAGCGATGAATGAAGAGAATAGGAAGATATTGCCATGCTGTCTGCGCCCCATCTCTGAAAAGTGAAAGCGGGGTCAGGTACACGCTGTCTGATAAAGTTAGCTGCACTGTACACGCTATCTGATAAAGTTAGTTCAGCTCTACTGTATTGAATGAAATATTCTTGACATCATTGATCCAACAACTTTGATTCAGCTTTCCTTATATGATAGTGGACGACAAAAAAGATTGTCGTTCAATCACTACTGACAACTAACAGTGAGCCTAGCTTTGATTTTTTTTTTTTTAACTACTACTACGACTACCCTTACTTCCTCTTTGCGTTTTCCGGCATTATGGATGGGCAGTGGCACCATGCTGCCTTTTAAAGTTTGTTATAAGCTTGTTATTTCTCCCATTAAACCAAAAGTTATGGCGTTAAAGAATGCTGAATTTAAGCCTAGTCAAGATTTACCGATCAAAATTGTGGAAACGTGGATTTAAGAAGGTACCACCCCAGTTATAATGAAGCCATTGTACCCCTAAAAATACAATGCTGTAATTTTCTGAGAGAGATTAATGTGTGTATCGAGACTCATACTGTAGATTAATTTTTTTTTTAAAACAACAGCTTTACATAAGGAAGACATATGATTGAATGAGACAACCTCAGAGGGCCAATCTGCCTGCGAGTCACGTCCTACTCGACATACAAGGTCACGCCATCATGAGGATTACATCACTGTGGACGTTCATCTTTCACAGCTGTCATGTGCGGCACAGCACACCCACTCCACCTCAAAACCTTTCAGCCCCAAAAGTATCCACTCCACCTCCAGAAGTAACAGAGGCATTTACTATGTTGGCTTTAAGTGTAACTGACAGTTTACACTTTAAAATATAAAACCCTGTACCTGCTCTGGTGTGTAAGTAGTTTATGCCTGCTGGATAACACATTTGAACGTGACAGTACACACGGCTGACATCACCGACATCAGCACTCAGCACGGTACGGCATAAAGCCAGGGTAGATAAAAAGGCTCTTTTAATTCTACATCCTGTCTCATTCATCACATGATGTTTTTCTCAGTCAGGCAGGGAAACATTTTGAAAAGCAAAGAACAATGTCGTCTGTTCTGCAAGAAGATTTATAACAAGAGGGAGGAGGAATTTGTACCTTTGGCCTCCATTAAAAAAAAGGCAAAAGCTATTATATATCCCGGGGTTTGTGTATTAGGATTACACAATAAATTATTTCCATCAAACTTAGTGAGGACATGGCACATGTCCAGATAGGTGTAGATGTAATCATTTATTGTTTACAGTCTATTTGCTTTTGAGCCAAGGGGTGCAGTGACCAACCAGATCCAGCAGAGGGAATTGCACTTACAAACCTGAAGTGGACAAAAAAAATTTACTTTGTGATATTTGACAAGTGAAACAGTTAAAAATATAAATTGGACATTTTTATTTGATCCTATATTAAAACAATATGAATAGATGTATTCCTATATTTATTCACGTATTTTAATGTGTAACTTCAAGAATAATTATCTTAAATATCTGGCTTTATCGAGCACTTCGATTTACATCTTGGTTTTTTTTTCTGTGGTTGTGTTATCCACAAAAAAAAAAATCACATTTTTTAGAAGAAAATAAAAACAATTTCTGCACATAAGAGTTACTGGACAAATTTTAATCATTCATGGAAAGAGAAAGAGAAGATTTTTTGGAACAAAATGCATAGAAACATAGTGGGGACAAGCTCTATTTTTTGCACCACACAGAAGAGCCCCCCCCCCCGACTATTACGCACAAATGTCTTTGTTATTTACCAAACACCTTTGCGTCACTTCGATTTTGCCTGCGTAGGGTTGACTCAGCAATGTGTTATCGAAACTAAGCAAATAATCCTTTGTAGACCTTCAACACACATCTGATTAAAGGCTGGGGAACAGGAGTTTTAATGAGGTTTGGTGCACTAGGAGGTGGAGATTCGAACTGCAGTCTTGTATTTAACAAACAGATGTATATTGATGCAGGCTGATAAAATACCAGAATGCATTCATGTGTGGGACGAAGGGTCAAGGTCAGATTTGAGTAAAGAAGAACATCAACTCAGATTATAGAGTGATGGGATGACAAAAAATAAATAAATAAATAAGCAAGTGGTGTTTGATGATGAAATAGTTACCTCGGAGTCTTTAGTGTAATATCAAAGTGGTATTTGAACATGAGTGCTCAGTTTTTACCCCTTACTTTGCTATGGCGGGGTGGAGCTTGGGCCAAGAAAATTATATGACCACAGCTCTGGAACAAAGTGCAGGTCCAGGATTTTTAACCTATTCAAAGACCTTGAAGAACAATTTCCTCAATTGCTCAGTGAACGGTGAATGAATCTTAATGACAAAATTCAAACGTACCCTAGAAGTGTCTATGAATTTGGTGTCGCCTCAATTACTCTTTTGGGTTGGCATAGGTCCTTTGGAGTAACACAGTTAAATTCAACTTGGCTGTTTAGGAATGTCAAATGTAATTGTAATAATAAAAATACTGTAGGCCTACTACCTGCACATCAGGACAGCACATGAAACGTTTGTCCTGAGTCTTCCTTTGTGAAGTGTGCATGTTCACCCCGTGTTTCCGTGATTCGGTCCACATGCCGAAAACAGGCATGCTCGATTCACTGAAGATTCATTTCAGTATTGCTATTTTAATGTATTAATTAATGTGTATGGTCACTTGTTTTGCAATTGGCTGGTGATCAGTCCAAGGTCTACCCAGCCTCAAGCCAAATGTCAGCTGGGATAGGGTCCAAATGAAGAGACGTGCAAAAAAATAATGGATTGATGGATTTATGGACTACGTCAAAGCATTGTTTCCGAAATCCCACGGAGAAGACGTGCACTATCAGACACACACTTCCCTCGAAAGAGTGATCTTATGTTATTGGTTGTGTGCTGCCATCGCGTGGCAGAGAAGAAAAAAAACGATAGTGCTTTAACTGAAGACGTTGTAAACATTACCTCATCGTGATTTATTTGCCGATCAACCATCCATTAATTTCTATTTATTTTCTTTAGGGTCACGGAAGAGATGGATCTTGTCATAACTGTGTGTGTGTGTGTGTGTGTGTGTGTGTGTGTGTGTGTGTGTGTGTGTGTGTGTGTGTAGGCCCTGATCGCCACCCAGGGAGTAGCGCTGTGGTCAATAGTTCAGTTTTTCTAGCTACATAAATTATTAGTAGAAGAAGACAAATTCCAGGAAAAGTTCAATCCGAATTTTTACAGTCGTCCATCTTTTCCGGGTTCAGTCAGCTCCATTCCGCGTGTTGATTATCCATGCCACGTTTTACATCTCGTTCGGGGTCTCTCAAGTTTCACTCGACTGTGTGCTTTGTGTTGTCAGGCAGAAAGACATACATACACTCGACAACCGGGGTGGCGTGAGACCTACTCGCACACTCACTTCATTTTTTTTTTTACCTTTCCTTCCGTCCGTCGTTTGTACACTTATCCGTTTTCCTAACTATGTCGGTGGGGTGCGAGTCTGGATTCTCGAGCGAGGAGGTTTTAAACAGCCGCTTCCCTCTCCACCGGGCGTGCAGAGATGGAGATGTCGGCGCCTTGTGCTCCTTCCTTCAGGCAACCACGAACGCGGCTGACCTCACCGTGGAGGACACCTTCTACGGCTGGACGCCCATACACTGGGCAGCTCATTTCGGAAAGGTATCTTGACAATTTTGAGGGGCACCTTAATTGATATTTTTCTCCCCCATTTCCATTTCATTTCTCCCGAGCGCGCCAAGCCGTCTCGGCCATTTCCTGATGTTAGCCTCCTGGTTTGTTAGCTCATGAAGAACATAATCCGCCATCGTTAATTTATTTTATTTGAGTTAAATCGTACGTAAGTCTCTCGCTCCAATTAATACAATCGGTGATAACCAAAGAGTACAAAGCTACCGTGTGCGAAATGATCATAAAGACTAGTAATGGTGGAAAAAAATGTATCCCTGTGTGTTTGTGCGGGACACCAGCGACCGCGCTCTTTTCACTCCCATTATCAGCTTCCAGTTAATTAAATCTCTTAATCTTGAGAAACTCTGGTCTAATGTTCATATCCCTTGCGACATCTTTACCAGTTTTAATACGTTACATGTAAATTTTACCACCTTTGACGTCACGTTTAGCTCATGGTTTGAAAATAAACCCATTATTTTCACTGATGGAAAGGGCTAGTGAATTATTAGAATTTATCTGGAAACAAATAACAAGCGTTTTTACAATTTGACGAACATTCACGACTGGAGGATGATTCCATCTGTCATCGGCAGGCAGAGGCCTCTCCAACACTCTCGACAATGTGTCATACTCTATCCCAAAAGAGTGAATTGTGTGCGTGCATCTAGCATAGACGATACTTGCATGTTTCCACTCATTCCAACACTCAGGAGAGAGCTTTTTATTTAGCCCGTGTGTGCATGTACGAATGAAACTTGTTTTAGGGCATCCCGAACAGTCAATTCAATACTCCACAAAGACCTGGTAATCATTCTCTGCAAGGAATTTGAAGACAAGCCAAAAGTAGACTGGGACTCCCATGCAAATTAACTACAGATCAGTGACCCAACGAGCTTTTTAAATCATCTCTCTGTCATTAATTACATGAATAATTATGCCAATCAACCCTGTGTCTCTTTGCAGCTGGAGTGCATGATGCGTCTGGTACAAGTAGGCTGCGGCGTCAACATTGTGACCTCCAAGTTTGCCCAGACGCCAACTCACATTTCAGCATTTGGAGGCCATCCCCATTGCTTGTTATGGCTCCTACAAGCTGGTGCAGACATTAATAGACAGGTGTGTGTGTGATCAGATGAGTATGAATTAGATGCTGAAGAGATAATGAAAAGTAAAAATCACCCAACTTCATTCAGAGGTTAACAAAAACATTGCTTTCGTGACAAAGAAGCCAATTGAAGCCATTCTGCTAGTGTTCCTGCATGAGCTAAATACAACCTGAATTTTTCTGTTCGTCGGAATATGTTGTAGTTTATCACTAAACCCAGTTGACGCTTAATTTACAGTAGATTAAAAAACAACCCTATACCATAGACAGAAAACATGACAATGGAAAAAAAGTGGTGTAGTTGGTACTGACTGTGCTTTGTAGTGCCACATGCAAACATTCCACACAATTCATAACCTTGAAACCTAATATGCTGGGACCATCCTAAAGTGAGGACCGCATCTATTTCATTGGCATACCAGCATAATTGCTTCAGTCATTCTTGAATATTTTTTGGTAAGCAAAACTAACTAACAAATGTAACTAATCGGAAGAGTCCAATTGCCGAGCTTTAAGGTTTGGGTATTACCTTGACATGGATGTCTTCTGCATCTACACAGACAGATTTTTAGCAAGCACATTGGTATATTTTGATATTGTGTTGGTAAGTTAAAAATGACATTGACCATTATGCTGTAATGCTAACAATGCATTCAACTGAAAAAGCATCCTGCGTGTGTGTGATACTCTGCTGCAGCGAAGATCAGCACTGTTGACTGAATCCCCACTCGGTTGTGGTCTAAATAAGAACATGTCAGCGATGCAATTGGTGACATTTATGGGTCTACCGGTAGTTATTTGCTGTGTGTCCTTCAAAACACTTCCCTAAGTCACAGGCAACACGCTGAACATTTTAATGAGCTTTGAAGATGCCATCCCAAAGTTAATTTAAGTGGGGAACTGAAAAAAAACAGTTTCCATCTACTCTGATACATATGTATGTTATAAAAGGTGCCACCCCAAAGTTAATTTAAGTGGGGAACCGAAAAAAAACCAGTTTCCATCTACTCTGATACATATGTATGTTATATTTAATTAATTATATGTATCATAGATAATATAGTATTATTTGAAATTAGTTCAGCCTGTCTCGGCATCGAGTGAAATAAGTAGTGTTATGACAGCTTGAGCTCAGCCTGATCCCATCAAGAAGGATCACTTAATGACGACAAGCTCTGCAGACCGCTATTGCCTCCGTAGTCCCCTTTCTTATTTCGTCTTCTATCAAAATGGAGTCGCACTGGTTTTCATTTTTTTCCCCCAGCATCTTTGTTGTCTTTTCATGTAGATAAACTCAGGCAGAGGGATCATGTGTGATGCTCTGCTGCACTACTTGGAGAAATGAGATTAGTAGGTCCCAGTGACATAACACGCTGATGTCATCATGACACAGAGCGTGCACACTTTTTATTTCGAATAAACTGGTCATTCTCTCCTTTTGTGGGCTAACCAGCCAGCTTAAAGTGGAGGATTTGTGTCATTTCCTGTCTACTGAACAGTTGCAATAGACTGCCGGCAGCCTGCATGGTCTGTTATTTGATCATGACTCATTTGGGCGGTGTGTGTGTGTGTGTGTGTGTGTGTGTGTGTGTGTGTGTGTGTGTGTGTGTGCGCGCGCGCGTGTGTTTCCCGCTCTGTTGCATTCTTAATATTAATCATCTACACAAGGGCGGTGTTGAAGTCTGGGTGAAAAGTTCACGCATTGCCTGCAGACTTTCACCCTCTTCTCATGAGTACATTACTTGCACATTGGAAATGGAAAAGTAATCCATTGACTTAAAACCTAATGTGTATATAAAAGCTGATTACTTTGGAATAAAAACAAAAACAGAATTCATCGTTAATCTGTCTTGACCCAGTTTAGTCTTTGATAGTGTTTAAAATGGCTAAAAAGTGTGTGCTTGGTAGATGTTCCTGCTCGCGAATGTAAAAAAAAGGCAAATTAAGAGAATGTCTTGTGAAAAAGTCAAACTAGTCAAAAAGTCAAGTTCAGACAGTGAAGATATTTGGCATTGGGAACGAGAAATGTGGCGCTCACTCTTGTCTGAGCTAGTCCAAACATGTGTTTCTATGTTTAACCGTGAGCTCGTCTCTTATCTCTCAGGACTATGTGGGCGAGACGCCCATCCACAAGGCTGCACGCGCGGGCAGTCTGGAGTGCATCAACGCTCTCCTGGTGCAGGGAGCAAAAGCTGAGTAAGTCCTGTGGTCAATGTTGCGAGCTCATCTCTTCCCCTCCCCCACCCTCTCTTCTTTTCCAACTCTGGACGTGACGCCTTTACAAGGGCTCGCCACCAAAAGTTGAATCGGGAACAGTGATGATGTTTACAGAGTAATCTTTATGCAAACTGCTGTGATAAAAAGTTAAACTGCTCTGTCGAGCCAGCTGCACACAGAGCGACACGGCTGAACGTGACCATCTCGGGGGGAAAAAAATTAGTTGGCGACTTCTTGCCACATGCCAAACAATTGAGCACCGCACACTTATCGATGTGCTGCAAGGAAAAAGCAGCGATCTTTATTTATTTATTTAAATCGAACCACCAAAAAACGCGATTGTCAACGAAAAAGCCGATATCCACAAAGACAGAAAACACGCCATAATAAACAAGAGTAAAGATGTTTTAAGGTTGTGCGCAATGATTGATCACCCCCATTCGCTTCCTGCACTTTTGCATTTTGATGACAGATTTTCACATCTGAAATGTGACACCTGCGACATTGCAATACCATTTACCAGCGACTCAAATTTTTATGCGCAGCAAAACCCCCGTTCGACAGTCACCCACTCATAAAAACTAGTTGCCGAACCCCGCGACCTTGTCAGTGTATCAAATATAAAGGCATCATTTTCAGACAAAAATTGCCACTGCTTTGTCGATGCTATTTCTCATTATATTACCTCTGATTGCGCAATGTACAATTTGGTGGTGTGCCCTTGAAAAGGTGATTCATTTTGTTCATCTTTGAAATTGTTGTTTATCATTGTGACAATTCTCATCAAATTGCTCCTTGTGTATCTCCCGAGATTGAACATTTACGATCGTTTTTTTTTTGTTTGAACTCAATTGACCCTGTATGAATTTAGCTAGCTATTAATAAAAGTTGATTATTAACGGATCTTCACGGCTTTGAGCTCATGTACCACCTTTTTTTTTTTTTTTTTTTGGTCAACTGGAACACAAGGACAGCTTGATGAAAATGTTGATAAACTGTGATTAACTCAGTCAGCCATGTTGCATGATATTTGTTATCTCTAGAGTGTGTTTTTATTTCACGTTTGTTTTGGTTCATGTCTTCTATACAGTTTTAACGATATGACCAAATGCACATTGCACTTCACTAGGAAGGTTTTTACCAACCAAAGCGGCATTGCATTGTATGAAACTGCATAAATACAACATAGCTGACAATATGTTAAAAGCTATGCGATCCATATGCGATCCATTTTGTCTCTAAGTTTGTGCAGCTACTTTCGACAAATACAATTGTTGGTACCCCTCTGTGAATGAAAGACAACCCTACAGTGGTTAAACAAATAACAAAACAATAAATACAAACGTAATTAAAATTAAACAGTGAAAATCCGACTTTGCTTTTTAATTGTGTTTCAACAGGATTATTTTAAAAACAGGCCTGGACAAAAAAATGATGGTACCCCTAACGTACTATCCCCACCGCCCTTCTGCACCTCTCAGGAATTTTGGCTCACTCTTTCTAAGCAAACTGCTCCAGCTTGTCTCGGGTTTGAAAAGTTCTTTCTCCAGTCTGCCTGTTTCAGCTCATTGCACAGATCTTCAATCGGGTTTAGGTCGGGGCTCATAGAAGGTCACAGAATAGTCCAATGTTTTGTTCTTTGTCTTTCAAGAGCCCATGACCTGTAACTGGGACCAAGCTTTCTGACACTGGACAGCACATTTCTCTCTCTAAAACACCTTGATCGTTATGAAATTTCTTTGTAGGCTGCATCGATCTAAGACACCCTGTGTCAGATGCAGTAAAGCAGCCCAAGAACATAAGAGCCTCCTCCCTGTTTCACAGTTGGGGCAATGTTCTTTTCTTGATGTGCTTCATTTTTGTGTCTGTGAACAGAGAGCACTGTGTGCTTTGCCAAAAAGTTCCAGTTTTGTTTTCCATCCACAAGACATGCTCCCAGAAACTTTGTGGATTGTCAGCATGCAGTTTGGCAAATTACAGTCTCAATTATTTTTTCATTTATTTTCAACAGTGGTGTCCTCCGTAGTTGTCTTTTCTGACCTCTGATGGATGGTGCGATCCGACACTCATGGGCTTTCACTTTGGAGTTCATCTTAAACTTCTTTGGAAGTTGTTTTAGGCTCTTTTGTTACCATTTATATTGTCTGTCTCTTTCGTTTATCATCAATTTTCCTCCTGCAGCCACACCCAGAGAGGTTGGCTGCAGTCCCTTGTAATTTAAATACCTTACCGATCTGTGCAACTGTCGTCACAATAACATCAAGTTGCTTGGAGATGGTCTATCCTTTAACTTGCTTCTCTATCTTTTTCTTTCGGATCACCTGAGACAACCTTCTCCTTCACTTTCTCTGGTCCATGTTTAGTGTGGTACACACAATCTCACTAAACAGTACAGTGACTACTTTTCACTCTTTTAATAGGCCGACTGAGTGGTTACAAGTTTGTAGACACTTGCGATGCTATTTAGAGGGCACACCTTGGTTGAACATGTCCCCTTGGTTGAATTGTTTTCAGTCTTGTCTCAGAGTATCATCATTTTTGTCCAGGCCTGTTTCATGAGTTTTTAGACAATGATTCTGTTGATTGTCGATGTCGATTCAAGTGTTTTATTGGTTAATTTTATTATTTTTTTAAAAATGTATTACTTTATTTAATATATATATATATATATTTTTTTTTTATTGCTTTATTTTGTCCCTGTGTGTATTAAAGTCAGGAACTAGCCAGAAGTTTACTGTGACCTCAAGAAGCGAGGTTCATACTGTATACTTAATGTTTCCTCGTCCAGAAATGAAAATAATCATACAACTGGTTGAGGACGTTTATTTTCATACGTCTTGCTATTCAGATAGTCATGATTCCATTTTATTAATAGTAACATGTTTATTCATGGCTCAAAGACTATGTAAAGTACAGAAATAAGACATTAAAACACACCACCATAAGGAACTTTGATGTTAAGGTGATTTTTAAAATGCCTAAGGATGAAATATCATGAGAATTTAATTATTACTTCTAAATGTCATGTTTTGCAATTTTAAAATAGATTTGACCGCTAACAGTAACAATGTAATGGTAGTTTTTCAGGCTAACCCCATCTGTTGCTGTGCGATTTTACTATTGTTTGCTCGGAAAACTCTCGTCAGTTCCAACACAAATAGCAATATCTTACTTGATATTTCCAGTTCATTTCCCTCCTTATCTTATATTTGACTTGCAGTTTCATACTTTGCATCTGGCTGTGTGGCTGATTGTTGTTATGACATTTTGACTTTGTCCTTGGATCCAGAGCTTCCAGGGAGCTTTCAGATGTTGATTTTTCAGATTGCTTTATTTTTTTGTTTTTGCAAAAAAATATATATATTGTTTTAAATGACATGTTTGAGCAAAAAATGTTTTTAATATTCTGTACTAGAACTGAAAACAAAACTTTTCATTTATTCGAGATGAGCCATCATTTGTCATGGAAACGATAAAGAGAAGAAAATCATTTACTTTGATAAAGTAACTCAAAACGTATTCCATCCAATAATAACTTTTAAAAAACACACATTTAATTCTGATCTAGTTTTCACAAGGCTTTTTACTCTGCACTGAAATGTGACTTTTCATAGCACATGAAAACCCCTGGTCGTTTTGGCTTCACCAAAATTCATCAATGCTTCATTTCTTGTGATGTGCATTTGGTCATTACCTGATGAGTAAATGTATAAGTGATGAAAATGATGTTATTTCTTTCCCCTTTTAGATCACAGATTGTGTCTTTAGTCTCTACTATAAAGGTCATTATTTGAAGTCGTGGGGAATTTTGGGGGGAGATTTATTGAAATCGGAGCCAAGCAAGTTAGGTGGGAATGAGGCTCATGACAAACCAATTCAAGTCTTAATTTCAGACTAAATACGTACTATTGTACTTAGACACATCGATAAAATGTCTTAACGACGCGCTTAAAATAAAAGAATGGCAAAAACACTGAATAAACCAACCTGGTATTTGCAAATAATTACCTCTACTTTTATATGAAAATGTTTTGCAACAGCAAACAAATAGCTTTGTCAGTAAGAAGATGTCAGTCAGCACTTCACTTTACAAAGTACAGATCCAATGAAAAATTGACTCGCTCTTATAATAAATAATATTAAATATCACAAACAAAATTGAACTGCTCACACCATTCAAGAGCCTTTATTTACCTTTGAGTTGGACTCGAAATACATCGCCACGGATATAATTTACCATTTCCGCTTCTTGAGAAGAATGTCAGTCCTAACTCTTACTCAAAGGTTGTTCTGTCTATCCTGCATTGCCAAAAGCCATCCTCTTGAACTCACGGAAACACGATGTCAAGCGGTAGACCGAAATGGCGGAGGAAGAAAAAAAAACGCATTTTCTTAATGGAAGCCGTGAAATACAGTCCAACATCAACTGCTTCGTTACCACACCCGACCAGAAGAATATGTCTGTGTTTCCTTCTGGGGTACTCATCCTGGACAAAAGAGGCCAAATACGGGGAGAGACAGAAAGGCTTACATTTGCACTGACTTGGTTGGGATGGATTGGATTTTGAGGTCTTGACTTTCGGGCCTGCCTTGTGCTCCACTTAGCCACTTCTTTGGATCCAGATTCCAAATGCTTGCACTTGATGGCCCTGATCCAGGACATGACAAGACAGGTTTGACGAGTGGATGACTCATTTCCCCGTCCTATCCGGTGTCAGAACTGCGCGCAATAAATCGTCCCAATTTGATCTGAGGATTTCTTTCAGCCCTTTTATGTTTACGCACTTAAAATAACAATTTATCGACATTTAAAGTCATGAGAAAACAGTACGTCAATGTAAACCTGACCACGGACCAATTTTTGGTCCAGCTTTTTCAACAGTAAATTTGTAATGCGGAAAAAAAACCCTCTATGCATTATTTATTTTATCGACTATTTTCTCGGTTATGGCTAACTTTATAACTTCACAATACTGATTGACCGCCGCCTCCCCCTTTAATCCCAAAGAGACTAATATTCATATTCTTCCAATTTCTTAATTTGTCATGAGCCTTGGGAAGTGGAAAAGCAGCCCGTTAGTCAGTTAGCATGAGACCGAATGCTGTGAGGGAGTGCAGACACCGAATATTACGACAGCTGAGCGATTGGGAGTTGCTAGCGTTGCTAAGCACCATTTACTCACCTGTTAACAGTGTAATGGTAACAATCATCCTGTGCAATGGTTATTCATTTCTTCACTGTTATGTCACTGTGTCGAATATTTTAACGTCATGCCAAGAAATGTCTTAATTTTGTTCTGTCACACTATTAACCTGATACGATATCCTGTAATCCTATGTCACCTTTTCCTTCATGAAAGTGACAATACGTGACAAGAAAAAGACAAACGTTTGCTCACCTGCTAAAACAGAACCGTACATCTTAATTGTTTTGCAGCCATTGAGTTGGAAATGACTTGGTTTTTTCAAGTAATCCTAGAAAGGGGGAGAATAGACACTGCTGAGTCTGCCCCGTTCCCTGGGATAGCCGCACTGTTGTGGCATTGAGTGTTCTCACTATCGCTTCCTATCTACACACTGGCAAACTGTTGAGGTATTTCTTGCGGTGATTGGTTTTAATGCTAGGTTTTGATGTCAATGAATCACAACTGATTTATTATTATTATTATTATTATTATTTTCTAGACCTGCATGCTTTGCTTATTACCCATGATTGTTCTTATATCTAGCCTTTGTCTTTATTTTTGTAGCTTATTTGTTTTTATTCAATCTTTATTTTTGTCAACTAACCATTAGGAGCCGTTTATATGGACAGGTTTAATCACGTGAGTCCCATGTCAAAAGCACTAGCATGACTATAGGCTGCCTCTGGGAGGTTAGACGATTAGTTAGCGAAAGACATACAATATATACATAGGACTGAAAAGCAAAGCATACCAGGCATTTATAAAGAATTAACGCTTCCTTTTGAAAACTTATTCCCAAGAAGTGGACACTGAAGATGTCTTGTCTCACGAAAGGAATACTTACTTGCCTTTTGTTTTTTTCCGAGATTTTAAATGGCGTTTTGATAGGTGGGAATATTTTGCCTGCATTGAAAGACACCAACAGTAAACGTTCAAATTTGATTCCAGTCTTTGTTGGGGTTGCACTTGACTTCCCACCTTCTAAAAATACATCATGCATTAGGACGCAATTGAGAGACGCCATACGTAAACTAACGCTAGACAACACAACAATCAAAAAGACCCCTTTGCCAAGAAGTCGTATGTATGCTTGATGATTCGTAGAATAATAATAAAAGACCACAGCACACTCACTTTTACTCCTGCCACGCAATAAAATGCGACCATCGTGACCTCTGTTAGTAAAACCTCCCTTTGCAAGTATATGTGGATCGTTGACGAATGCGCAAGACTGACAGATAGTGTCTGAAGTCAACATTTGGCAGAACATCTTTGTTTTTTTGTTTTGTTTTGTTTGGGAAGTAGGATTCTCACGGAGAAATCAACAGAACAACTCAACTCCTTGTAGGGAGCGCTGGAGCAGTGCGTTTAAGGTCACACTGCTGGAATTGGAGCTGAGGGCCTTAGTTGGAAATGAGTGCGAGTCATGACACGTTTTAAAATCGCTGCCCTTTCAACCATTTTTAAAGGATCGAATGATGGTTTATTCCATAGTGTGGATATCTGGGCCTTTATACCACCTATACATAGTTGTATAATATATATATATATATATATATATATATATATATATATATACACACACACACACACAGTGGAGATATAAAAATCATTAAAAAAAATTGAAATTGTATTCCTTGGCGTGAGACAAGTACATTTACAAAATTTAATACAAATGATCTGATTTGATTCACGTGTTGGAAGCGTTAATTTGAATGGGTGGGGGCGGATGATGTGCAACAAGTTATTGTGTGATTTTTATGAATATTTTTTGACAATGTTAAGATCCTTAATGTGCACCACTTCTGTAAAGGTTTTTAATGACACGAGTTAATTGAAATGGCTGGAAGTTGTCACACTGTGGAACTCGATGGCACTTGCTTACAGTAAAACGATGCAGGGAAGCGTTTGATTTAAAACATGCTTCGGCACAAGTGAAATTGATGGCCTTTTCCAACTTCTGTGGGGTGATATAATTCCTACTGTACATGCAATGGCGCCTCTGACACAGAGCTGCACCCTGGCTCTTTTCCAGAACCTCCATTTAGTTAACAAAGACCTTTCTGTTTGCGCTGAGAACACCATTATGCACTGTGATGACATTCACACAAACAAGTGCAGTATTGTTTTGCAAATGGGGAATTCCGTTCATTAAGCTAAAAGAGTTCCATCCCTGAGCTGTATTTTATCCCCCCCGTCAATTAAGGGAAACAAATCTTTGTCGACGACAACTATATTCCATTGGCACTGCATAATTTTGCAATAATGATGGATAAATGGTTTTACTGTCAAGTAACATTGATTCCACAAAAGGTGATGCTCCAGACCCAACACTGTTTGCTCGATCTTTTCTCGCATGATGAAAGTCTGCTGCAAAGAGGCGTGATTAATACAAGTGCGAACAATGCACATATACACACACACACACACACACAAGCACGGACGCGTATGCTTGCATTCTTTCTGTCAATCTTCAGGCAAGACTTTTAACTTGAAAATCCAGATTTATTTTGTCCAAGACACTTTCGTTTGACAATTGCTTTCAACGGACTTACCCATGTCTTTGGTACTTGCCTCATCTTCAGGATCTTGCACTTATCACGGAGCACTTTGGAAACCCTACCTTGTCTGTTTTGGACGCATCATTATAGTTTTTAGCAACTTTCCTTGGTACAGGTATGTTTTTGCCCTGGTACTTGAAAACCAGACTTCAAACTTCACATATTCTTGTCTTCTGGTGCACTCCATCCTTGAATCCTTGCACGCATTTGGATTTGGAGTTGATCTTCTGCTTTTTCGCATTAGCTTATCTTGTATTTCAAGAACATTGGACACCAAGTCTTTTCTGGATCATCCGCTCTCATGTCGGATCATTTCAGGTACACTTAAAAATGATAACGCATTGCTTCCATTGTTTTAATCCTGTCTCTTGTGCAGCAGACGTATTTTTCTTCTGAATATTTGGAACCACTCAAAAGATGATGCAAACGATCCAAAAGGGTCCATCATCATCTGTCATGATGATGACAAAGGCAATTTATTTCATCGTTGTACATGTCTGTATGTGAGTGTTTGCTTGATAAGTCTGTCAGTTTGTGTGTGTATGTGTGCGTGAGAGAGAGAGAGTATGTATGTGTGTGTGTGTGTGTGTGCGCGTCATGTTTTCTTTTTATTTGTGTTCAAGAAAACATGCAGTAAGCCCCACTGACACTCAACGTTTCCCGTTGTGCAGTGTGAGGAATGCCAGTGGGCTGACCGCTGCCGACCTGGCCCACGCGCAGGGCTTCCAGGAGTGCGCTGAGCTTCTCTCCAATGCCCAGAACTTTCAACAAAACATGGCTCAGTTCCATAATGGGGCCTTTCTTAATGGCACCAGCCAGAATGGGGGCCACGTTCACCCCACTATCCAGGGCCGGAGCTTCTTCAAGGGCATACCGAACAGAAAGAGGTCATTCGATGACCAGGAAAGCAACCCAGTCAAGAAATCAAGACCTAACGGTGAGTCAAAATCAAAATGAGACCACTTCCCTTCCATTGTGAGTGACAATTGAATTTGTTTTATAGTCGATTGAGGAACAAGAGTTCCCTACTCGGCAGCAACCAGCAGAGGGTACCATTGATTCAGGTTCAACTGTACAGCCTTTACAGCAGGGGTGTCAAACTAATTTTTGTAGCGGGCCACATTGTGGTTACATGTATGTGTGTGTGTGTGTGTGTGCGCGTCATGTTTTCTTTTTATTTGTGTTCAAGAAAACATGCAGTAAGCCCCACTGACACTCAACGTTTCCCGTTGTGCAGTGTGAGGAATGCCAGTGGGCTGACCGCTGCCGACCTGGCCCACGCGCAGGGCTTCCAGGAGTGCGCTGAGCTTCTCTCCAATGCCCAGAACTTTCAACAAAACATGGCTCAGTTCCATAATGGGGCCTTTCTTAATGGCACCAGCCAGAATGGGGGCCACGTTCACCCCACTATCCAGGGCCGGAGCTTCTTCAAGGGCATACCGAACAGAAAGAGGTCATTCGATGACCAGGAAAGCAACCCAGTCAAGAAATCAAGACCTAACGGTGAGTCAAAATCAAAATGAGACCACTTCCCTTCCATTGTGAGTGACAATTGAATTTGTTTTATAGTCGATTGAGGAACAAGAGTTCCCTACTCGGCAGCAACCAGCAGAGGGTACCATTGATTCAGGTTCAACTGTACAGCCTTTACAGCAGGGGTGTCAAACTAATTTTTGTAGCGGGCCACATTGTGGTTACGGTTTCCCTGAGCGGGCCATTATGACTGTGAATTTTGTGAGATAATGCTTGCAATATCTCTATGTAATGATGGATTACATGTGACAATTTTAAATTTTGGTTCAGACTTAAGCAAGCATCATGGAAAAGTTGACATGCTTGATTTGCTCTTGTTGGCCACACAAAATGATATGGCGGGCAAGATCTGGCTCCCGGGCCTTGAGTTTGACACATGGTTTACAGGTTTGCATAGAACTTTCTATTGCCAAATAGATATTGTGTGTTAATATAATGTGAACCTTCGTGAAGCAAAAGAAGGTTGACACTATTGAGTTAATAATGCTCACTGAATGAACTAGCATGTAAAGAAAAAAACAAAAACAAAAGCGTGTGATTATTCCATGCCTTACCTGTTTTTTTTTTTTTAGGTCTGTGCGTGCCGGTTGAACTGCAGAACGGCAATGGGCCACTGGTCGGTGCTGGAGAGTCCCCAATGGAAAGCATGGAGTTGGCGTCTGCTGTGACCTCAGGTGGGCCAGGACCCTTTGCATTGGGGCTGAATGGGCTTGCGCCAGCGAACGGGTCGGGGCCCATGGATCAGTGGGAGGACCAGGGGGGACGGGCCACTCCCAGCCCCAAAGCTAAAGAGCTGGAGGTCTTCAATGTGGCAACCATGCAGACTCCCTGTCGCTGCACCAACTCGTACGCTTATTTGTAGAGAGGCTGCCAGTGTATGTGTGTCTCTTTGTGTGGGTGGTGGCACACTACAATGTTCACATTTGTGTTGTATATATTTTGCAATTCTTAAACTTTGGTTGACGGTAATTGTTTGCGTCTTACATGGATAAAGGAAAATATTACGGTACAAAGGGTGTATAGCAGTGTGCGTAAGCTTTTAAAAAACATTTTTTTTTTTTTTTTTACACCCTCTGATGTTCCTGATTCCCAACAAAATTTTAAAGCATTTGTCCAGTTGTACTGGAAATTTAAGAGGTTTCTTGGAAAAACAATTGACTTTTTTTGCATTTTTTTATAGGGTATTTACGGATAACAGAATCATTTGTGGTTCCCTGTCTCATCAGTTGAACAGTGGAAAGAGAATACTCTCCTTGGTTATTAGTCTTAAATAGAATTAAAATGACTCTTGCTTCACAACATAGTCAACTATCATTTTAATTGTTGTATGCTTTTTTTTTGTGTGTTGTGGCTTGAACTAAAACTGTTGGTAAATGTGCAGTGTTAATTTGCAACGTTGAAGGGAAACTTGAATTCTATTTGTAGGCATATGATATCAATCATTTAAGTTGGGGTTCTAAAGTTTTATTTAGCATCATCCCACCTCCCTCCTCTCTAAGCTGGGCCTGTTGTCGAACATTCCTTGTACGTTTGTCTTGAATGAAAACTTGAGAGCACTGAGGTATTAACTGGCCTCTGTTGATATGGTACTGTTAAAGAATTTCAAACTGCCTCATGCCAAAGCAATTCCCAAAATGAATGTAGCTCGTGGAGGTACAACTCATACACAGGGCGGTTTTTCTACCGGCTTTTACAGTTTCTTGATGTAACAAATTAAGACTCGGTACAGTGGTACCTCAAATGTCGACTATAATTTAACTGTGACGCTGGATGAACTTCCTTTCGCATTTAAAAGCAATTGTATTTGAAAGCATTTGTTCAGGGAATGTTTCAAGTAACATTTTAACATCATAAATGTTCATACAAGTACATGTAGGTATGTGGCAGCTAACCAATCAGCGTCTACAGTGAGAAGCGCACTTACATCATCGCTCATTTTTTTTCTTAACAGCACAGGGAAGGGCTCAATTGCACAACACCAATACCAGAATGTTCAACTCGGAATCCGTTGTTGGCAAAATGTTTGCTAATAACTCCTGAGACGCCTATCAGATTAACAAGAATGGGAATTTAAAAACAAGAAGTAGAAACCGGTGAAACATGGCTGACCAAAACCAGTACTTCTGCTTAGACTCCACATGACTACCGATCATCACTTCAGACTATCCTTGGCACCAGGTTAATCCTGCGATGCTGGCTAAAATGAGGTCTTGAGGTGCATGGAGAGCTCACGCGTAATCAGTTTTAATTTCTCCTGAAAAAATTGGCCTGACTCTCATATTACTTTAACGTCTATGCCGTTCGACTTTGAAGGTACCAGTGTATCCCATTGACTTTTTTTCAGATTTGTTGCTCAAGTATGACGATCAATGTTTACTCTGTTGGCAATGTTGCCTATTACATATTCTATAATGTTCATTTAAAGAAGAAAAAATTGAAAGGTAATTTTATAATCCATTAGTTAGCTGCCCAAGAAAGTTTGCATTGGTACAGTATGTATAGTTTGCTAAGGGGGTCGGGGGGAGCTTTATTACTTGAGCTGATAGTGGAACAAAGGTGCTTTGTTTCCATATTGCATTTACATTACTGTTGTATTTTTTTTTTTTGTGTGGTGATATAAGAAAGTTAGTGTGTGTGTGTGTCGCTGATGAGCAAGTGTAGCTTTGTAATTAAGGATGTGAAATCATTAAATGTGCAAATTTTTTACAACCATTTTTCTTTTCTTTATTGCAACATTTGAATCACTATAAAAAGTGCTGATCACACCTTGTTCTGACATGGACCGTAGCAGTAGACAATTAGATTTAGTAAAATTTGAACCTTCTGTCAAAGTGACACCAAAGAAACTTGTTCAGCGTGTCATTCAGCATGCACAAATCAGGTTGTGACCTATTTAGAAGCAGGTCTGGGCTTGTCGCTTGCGAGATTTTGTCCGAGTCTGTCACAATTTATTGATCACACTTCCACATGCCTGGTGAAACGTACATGTCAAAGTTTGCATCGGACTTGACTGACCCGAGCTATTTGGAACAGGTCACCTTCGGAATCAGGTCTAAATTCACCAGTGATTCATTTGCACACGTGCTTGACTGTTTGTCTTCTCCCTCCCAGTGTCAGTGGGCATTTCCTCACTCGGTCACTGTCAACCGCAGCTTCCCTTCCAGCGCGATTTGACTGCAGTCTACAGGGGGTCACCCGAGATCAGCCAAGTGGAGCACCAGAAGTCTGTTAAAGCGGAGCAGTTGTACGACAACACCTTCTTCAGCACCATGCTCCTCTACCATGGAGCCTAAAGTTTGAGGAGCAGGCTGTTAGCCTCACATTTCTTCATTTGCCTTAAAAGCCATTGAGTGGTTTTCCGCTAGTTGATGGAAGCGTTTTCTTTTGCGAAGGGCAGGCCCAGTGTGGCTGTTTTCCGTTGTTTATGTGACGCTTGAAGAATTTTGGTCCTGGTTTGCGTTGTTATAAAGTGATTGTTGTTTGTAACCTTCTATCTTCGTAAGTCAGCATCTTTATGAAAAAGCACTGCCAACGTTCAAAATGATTCAGTTTGATTTGTATGAAATTGTATTCGAGGCCACACTGAAAAGGAAAGTAGTTTATAATTTCACATTTGTACAGTTTTGTAAATTTTAAGTTTTGTGGACAAATCCAACACTTTTGAATCAAAAATAAAGATGTGCTTGTAATCTCAAGTTATGTTCTTGCAAAATGACAACTTTTTGCAACTCTCACTAAATTGAGTTTTCTCTGTATTGCAACAATAGTTTACAATTCGTAATATTCTATTTTTTCCCCACTCAAATATTACAGCTTTATTCAAACTTTTCTGGTAAATATGACTAAATTCTGACTCTTGTAATGTCAAGACTTTATTCTTACATACGTAGAATTTGTAACATTACAACGTATTTCTTGCAAGTACAACCTTCTCGGGCTCTCAGTCACTTTATAACTTCGAAAAATGCATTTGTTCTCTCAATATTACCGGTACTTTTCTCGCCCCAAAGTTCTTTCTGACTTTCCTCACATTACGATTTTTAAAAAATGTCGCTAAACAATTAAGTCTTGTTAAATGTCTCTTTCTGCTAGTGTTAATTTTAGCCTTGTAAATTTATTTTTTTTATATTTCTTCTCCACTGTGGCCCTAACACACTTTAGTTGTTTTGTACATTAGATCAACTATATTTTATTTTCATTGCATTCTAATATAATTGAAACGAATAATTTTAATTTGGGGCAGTTATAGGTTATACTACTGCATTCTGTTTTTCGCCTACAGTGGAAGGTCGTCTTATTTAAAATTTGTTTGGTTATTTTGTAAGCAGCTCGGTTTATGAAAGCCTGGCAAAGTATATCTTTTATTAGTGCAAATGGGGCTGGCAAACCCCGGACTAACGTGTTTGGCCTCCCTCGATGTGGGTGCTCGGAGCCCAGTCACCTGTCAGGAGCAGAACCCACCTTCATCACCACAGTACCACACAAACAACACGTCATTTGCGGCCCCGCCCCGTGGCACGCTCATACAAAACGAAACGGGGGTGAAGATCTTGTCATCAAAGAAAAACTGCTAGTTTGTAATTTAAGGTTGGAGTTCTGGAAACCGACTAATATATGTTGAACAAAAATAAGGTTGCTATAGTTATGTATATCCAGTGCGAGATATTTATGACGTTTATGTGTCATTTAATATATTTACCCCCCCCCCTCTTTCACATATGGTATCGTTCATTAAAAGGGGCTGGGCTAACCACACCGGGTTATCAAAGCTCGACAGGAACGGGAACTTCCAGGCAAGCCAGTCAGGATGCAATCAGATGAACGTTAGCGGCATTTATCACAAACGTTCTCACCAAAACACTAGCGATAATACGACTTATATAGGCCGCTCATAACGTTAGACAGACCATGTCCACACCAGCGAGAAGAAGACTTATGAGAGATTTTAAACGGTGAGTTGTTTGTTCTTTTTTGTATGTATCCCGTAATGAGTTGTCAAAAGCGCCTAACATGAAGAGCAAAGTCCGCTCGAACCCGGAGTACTGATAATTAAATTGTATTATTAAAAGACAATGTGAATGTGAAAAGTATATTAAATGTAATCTTCATGTAAACTAGAAACAAGTCGTAGAATTAATTCAGAAAACAACCTTAACCGTCTGCGTTTACCCAAGTTTCCAAAAAACTAACATTTAGTCAGTGGTAAGCAAGACTGCAAATATTTGACAAGTCTGGTTTTTAGCCATTGTCGTTGTTTGCGTGTTCTTTCGTTGTGAACTCTTAACATTTGTTTGTCAAGTAAACAACTAAACAATGGCGGAAGTTGTTGTCAGAGAACACTTTGTTCGTGGAATGTGGATCATTTTAACTTTACTTTTCATTTGCGGTCTTAACTGAAGCATCGCGTCGTCGTTCAAGTTCTTAAGTATGTAAATGAATTTAATGACACCACTCACCAGCCACTATTCAGCGAATTAGCAAGTATTTTAATTTGTACTGATGACTCCAAACTACAGATTTTTAAATGTTTATTTGGTTGTTCAGGTTACAAGAGGACCCCCCGGATTTTGTCAATGGAGCCCCATGTGAAAACAACATAATGCTGTGGAATGCTGTCATTTTTGGGTAAGCCATAATGGACTGAACACAGTCGTGCCTTGATTTAGGAATTTAATTCGTTCCTTAACAAGGTTGAAACTCAATTTACCTAAGTCAGGTCCCTCGTTGGCAAGTTTTTAAGACATAAGCCATCGCTTGGCTATTTTTATTTTTTTTTGTCTTGCCTTGTAAGGTAAAACAAAAATACTCTGTGCGTGCTACTCCAGCGATGTTGTTAGTGGCATATTAGAGGATGAATTGGTTGACATGTGGCCTCGTCCGAATTCATGAATGAAACTGAATACACTGACAAATTGATGTTACCCCTCATTTGAAGCAAAAAAAAAAAAAAAAAATCTACCAAGTGACAGCTTGGTACTTCAGAAACTCTTAAAAGGTGTGGAATTCGTAAGTTAAGGCACCATTGGCCTATGTTTTGTCTTTGAAACTTCAAATAATGAAATTGTTGATCCACAAATGTCTTGCTTTTCAGCCCTGACGCAACTCCATTTGAAGGCGGTAAGTGTTTTGATTTCATGGGCAATGACTGATGCCTGAGAGTTTAAGAACTGATTATGACATGACGATGAATCATCGTTGTCTGTATTTGCTCATAGGTACATTTAAACTAATTGTCGAGTTCACAGAAGAATACCCCAATAAACCCCCAACAGTGCGATTTGTGTCAAAGATGTTTCATCCTAATGGTAAGAACATTGTTCTGCTCAGTACATGACTGTCTTGCGCGTGTTTGGACCATGCAAACAAAGAAAACAAAAAAATAGCAATAATAAAGGCGACGTTTTCTGAAAATAGAAATATTACAAGAATAAAATCACAATTTCACAGTTTTAGTCGTAATTCAGCTTTAGTCCTGAATCAGAGAAAATGCGGTCTTGTTAAAGGAAGAAAAGCAATTTTTTAAACCCATTTCCTTATTAAATATGGCCTTGTTGCCACATTGAGTTTTTCTCTAAACATAACTTTTTACTTGTAGAATGATGTTTTTCTAGAAATTTGGCATTTTATTTTTGTAACATTGACGTTTTCCCTTGACTACTTAATTTCAAAACTTTTAGATTTTTCTTTTTTACGACTTGACTCTCATTTTACAATGTTTTTTTTCCCCTCTAGAAAAATGTTACTCTTTTGTAGCAATACAACGATTTGCTTTTAATATTAGTTTTCTTCTTGTAAAATCATATTTATATCTCAATGGTCCTCCAACCCCCCTACAGTCTATGCAGATGGTAGTATATGTTTGGACATCCTCCAAAATCGATGGAGCCCCACTTATGATGTCTCTTCAATTCTTACATCTATCCAGGTAAATAATAAGATGTGATATTTGCATGTTGACACATTCTCAAGTGAATCAAATAAACGGCTGTCTATGTTGCTTGTCCCTGCAGTCTTTGCTGAATGAGCCCAACCCCAACAGTCCGGCCAACAGCCAGGCTGCTCAGCTGTACCAGGAGAATAAGCGCGAGTACGAGAAGAGAGTTTCAGCAATTGTAGAGCAAAGCTGGCGAAATAGTTGACCTGGGTAAGGCTGTGTGCCCAAATGCTAGCATGGAGAACCCTCATAATCTCCTCTCACTTTTTTTTTTTTTTTTTAAACATTTAATTCCCTTTAACTTTGATGTATGTCCCGTCATAGGATTTTATTTTTTGTTGCCTGCCAAGAGGGATTGTTTTCTCTATATACTCAAGTCTCCCATTATCCCAGCAGCATTTGTGCCGAATCCTTGCCTTGTTTGTGGGCCACCAGCATACTTTGATCACGTTTAATGTCCCGGGTGCTTTGCCGATCACGTCCTTTTTCACCGTAAAGTTTGCTGTCGTGGACTCCCAATATTGTTACGCTATCTCTCTGTTGTGTTGTGAACCGTTTGTAGCATGCATGACACAATGAGCAAACCTGACCTCCTCTCTCTTCGATAATGTGTGTATATATACGAAACCTGCATCTGAATATATGTACAGATTTTGCACTGGTTGTCTCCCTTGTTTTTTTTTTCCCTCACATGGAAAAAAAAATGATGTAGGTAAATGAGCTGCACTTGCATTGTTTCACCTACAACAGATTCACAGTGACCTTCTGGTGTAATTGGAGTGTCTAAATTTAGACAGTTACATTTACTTTACCAATCCTTTGCTGCATTATGCAATGTGTCAACTTGACCACAATTAACAGGCATCATGTTACACTTCTTGGCAGCACATCCAGAGAGTATTGACCAGCTTTTTGCAGGCAACTGACTTCTGTGGATAGCATGTGACTGGTGTGATGCATTTGCATCTTTATTCTGTTTGATAGGGGCACTGAGTGACAATGTAGACTGCTGGGCTCGTTTCTCGCGCTCGCCGCTGAATTGTCAGCTGCATGCCACAAGCTTGTCACTTGTCAAAGGAACTGTGTTTGTTGGCTGAACAGTTTACACATTAGTGTTAGGTGTATTTTATACTTGCGTGACAGCAAACTGCAAAGGGGGGGGGGGCAAAGTGTAGTAAGATTTTTTTTTTTTTTTTTAATTGGAACAAAATGGAGGTTGACCAGTTTCATGCGACAGTGTGCCAGACTGGAAGCGCCATTGGATACTTAATACTACTAAAAAGCTTATTGAAACAAAACAGTTAAGTCGATCCAAGGGTGGTTTATTTGTTAAGTGGACACAGTTGAATGGGAGATGCCGCATGCATGTGGTAACAAGATGGACAAGTGCAGGATATCTGCTTACTAACATGCCCATTGTACAAGGGTGAGGAACCTGTGAGAGCATTGGATCCACCTTGTCACTATCGAAACAAATAACACCTCTAAAGAACCGTTAAAACTGACTCCACAAATGCTCAGTTCCCCACCCCTGCTTCAGAACAATGCCCTGACAAGTGTGAGGGCAGTCTTAGAAAAATAACTATTTACAGAACTATTTAGTAACAATGGACAAATCCTAGTTGTAATAATACTTCAAATGTCGAAGTGTTCTTGGACCGCCGGGGTCAGCTACCTGTTGTATGCCCGCTCCTTCTTAGCTCTTTCCAAGGCTTTGTCCATGGTCTTCTCGTTCTCGCCACGACACTTGGGGCAGTACCACTTGCCCTTGGGCTTGTGATGGAGGCCGACGCAGGAGAAGTGGAACCACTCAATGGGACACTCGTCATTGTCGCAGCCGATCATCTCGCCGTAGGACACCTGCTCGCACAGGCAGTACGTGGGCTCGTCAGGGTCGATGGGCAGGTCCGGTGGAGACACCTCCCGCTCCGACTTCCCCTTGGACCTCTTTTTCTTCTTGGATGAGGTTTTTGCTCTCTTCTCCCGGGACGCTCCGGCGCCAATGTCCTCTCCGGTGTCCAGGCCGCCGTAGCTCTCCCTGCTCTCGCCGTTCTTCTGCCTCCTGGAGCGCTTGCCGCTGGCCTTGTCTCCCCCTGCTGAGCTCGGCGTGACCTCTTCACGTTTCTTGTCGTGGTGGCCTGTTTTGCTTGGGGTGGCGGAGGACGAAGACGAGGATGACGTGATCATGGACGCTGCCGCGGTTGCCAAGGATGTTGGCGTGGCGATCTGGCTCTCTGGAGCTTCTTGGGAGGAGTGGAGGAGTTGGGAATGCCAGTCTAACTGCCGGGTTCGATTCTCCACCAACTCCACCTGGAACAATGTATATTTACTCCTCATCCCAAAAAGATATTTCGAGTTCAGATACTCTTAGAACATGTTAATTGCATGTAGGGCAGGGCAATATGGCCTTAAAATACGTCTCATATTTAAATGAACATTTAATTTCTAATTAATCCGATCAATCACCAAACTCGAATTGGTGGTCCATTCATTGTAACATACTAACCATTTGTCCAGCAATCTGAATCTTCTCATCTCCGAGCTCCTGAATGCGGATCAGCGCCCTCTGGATAGACAACTGCAGTTTGCGTCTTTGGGGAGTGTCAGATTCTTTGCGATACCGTTCGTAGGCATCCTCGAGTTCCTTCAGAACATCTAATAAAAATTGGATTACATCATTGTTGAATACAATTCTATATAGTGGCTGATTGTCCATGGCAGATGTCTAAATCTGTCTGTACTGTGTTAAACTTAATGTGTCAGTGGGTTAATGTACAGGTATATATGTATGACCAAAAAAGATGATTTGAATTGGTGAACAAAGTGCATTTTTACCTTGATATCTGGCATCAATTTCCTTCATGAGGGACACACTTCTTTGCAAATCAAAGGGCAGTGATTCTACCAAGTCCAAGTACTCTTCCACATAATTGACAACAACATGGCCGGGGTCGCCGTTTGTGGCATTCAACATTGTGCCTCCACTCTTATCACACAGACCTCCACCTGGAAGAAAACGTGGCGAGAAGACGAATTTGTGTACAAACAGCTACTCAAATGTAGTTAGCATTGTGAATAATCATCATATTGTAATCTTGTTTGTTCTTGCTTTTACTATGGCGTTCCTGTCATATTTCCAGATGATTAACAGGACATTTTCTCATTTTACTTCTGTGAAGATGGACCGAATTTAGATACATTTCCACTGCAACCGATGAACAACCTGCTGCGTACCAATTTTGGAAAAACAACCTACTCTAATTAGTTCTGTGTATTTTTTAAAGATCAGTTCAAACAAATTGCTTTAAAACGGCTGGTAACACGGGGAACTCTGCTTTGAAAACGGATGGCAGTGAATGAGTTAATTTCGCAGTACTACTGCAAATCACCAAAGCATTATTATTGACAGTATTACAGTATTGTCAATACAACTGGAAAGGCTGTGATTTGGAAGTATATAAATAAAATGTAATTGAATTTTTCCGAAGGCGACCTGGATTATATTAAACATCATATGGGGGCGGGGCCAAGTGACGCGCTCATTCAATGTACGGTACGCCATAGATACAGTAGGTGATGGCAACATGTCAAATAACGTCGCTTTCAACACAATTCCGACTCAAGACGGTTGTAATGACAACAATTGTGTCGTAGGTAGTACTTTGTATGTATGTGTATGCACCCTCAAAGTTTTTCCCCCTCGAACCAACGACAAGAAAGCGAGGCTAGCGTGATGCGGGTAGCTAGGTTAGCAGGTTAGCCCGTTTTCCCGGCGATTTTACACGAGTTCGGTTTACGTTCACGAAGCATAAAAGCAACATTTAGTTTTAATTACAGACCTGACGCAAGTTAAAATATCATGCTCAAAGTAGAGATTGCGTGTTACAGCGTCGAGTAGTCTGGTTGTGTTGTAATTAGGGTATGCAGCCCGCCCCTTCGGCATGTTGACTTTAACATCAACGCCGTCAAATGTTAATATGTTAATTTGACGAGTCAACGTTGTCCTTGGCAACCGATTTGAAGTCTTCCAACTGTGGATAGTGTACATTTAGCCATGTTTAACTTATAGCGTTTGCTTAGCCAAGTTTTGTGTGCACTGTCTTTAAAAAGTCAGTCATACGTTGAACGGAACAAGAAAAAAAAAAGATTAAAATACTTTGGGGCGCTAAACGCAACGATCGTCAATCCTACGGATATTTGATCACAAACTTTCACACTTTGAATCCTATAAACTTGAACGCTCCTGTTTTTTTCTGGTTTCTCCGTAGCTAGCGTGACGCTCTATCACTGCAAAACAAACATCGCTGTTCTATTTCGATCCCGCAAATTAAAGGCATGCCTACCTGTGCGTGTACATATATTGGTACTTTTCCAGTCAGTTCTCCGCTCTTAGCGTCAAATTAAAAAAAAAGACCTTGATGAACGTTAACGACATTAGTCGTGCAGTGAGTGAGTCGGCAACCAGAGCAACTAATGCTAACCATTAGCTCGTGGCGGAGGGCGGATTTGCGCATGTGCGTCGTGTCAAAAGCCGCCATCCACGCAGATTCAACTGATCCGTTTGTTTACGTACTAAGTCAATGCTGCCACCTGACGGCGAATATGGTCTGTTTTCTTTTTACAGTGCAGTACTTGAACAATAATTGTCATATGAATTGACTCACACAAAGTCGTATTTTTATTTTTGTCATAAAAAACACCAATTACAACTACGTTCATATTTTTCTCCATAAACGTGATCTGGGAAGAACAAAGTGTTTGAGGGATGCTCGTGTTTACATACACAGAGGTATAGTCCACAAATCTTGAGCCTTTGAAGTACCTTTATTTTTCACTAACCCCCACCCGTTCATGATAAGGACTGAAAGTAACAGTTGGGAGCACAGATTGTAAAATCAACCAAACGGCTTTTTTTTGGTGTCTGTACAATGTTGGTTTTCATCTTTCAAATAGATTTTTGAAGACTGGGCCAATTTCGTGGATCATGTCCGAGGTGGTGGTAGACCTGCCATGTTGCTGGAAGGCTTGTTTGTTGCACTGTCTGGTGAGTGAAGAGGCCCCCATCGCTGCCACCATTGACGGGTTTACACTGCAAGACAACAATGATTGACATGGCAATACTGTATTGATTGTTACTTCAAAAATGAAAAAAACGGTTAATACTGCTCAATTGATGTATTGTATGGTAGGGTTTCAATATATTTGTAGTTTGCACAATGAGATAGTTTTGATTTACCCTCTTGGCCTCACTGAGGGGTGCTTAGAGAACGAAAACATACCCAAGACGGTAATGTGAAAGAGATTGGCCCTCAAAGTTGTAACACTAGATCTTCACGTGCGCACGCACACACACACACACACACACACATATCTCCATGTACTGCGGCTTCCTCATGCCTCACATTGCCCAAAAAAACCCCCATCAGGGCTCTAAATTGCCATGAGTGTAAGTGGTTGTATGTGTGCTCTGCAATTTTCTGGTGACCAATCCGGGTGTACCCTGCCTCTCACCCAGTGTGAGCTAGGACATACTACAGCTCACTCACGACGCTGCATTATTAAAATTAAAAGGGCATCATTTTTAACAAGCTCTTTTATTAGAGAGTCTAATGTTTTGGCTGAGCGTATGATTGCCCACCATATCAAGTTGACTCGAGACTCATCCATATTTAATGCGTATTACCAGCAACATGTCCTATCAGGTTTATGGAGCACCCACCCTGTGATCAGTCCTGCTTGAGAGGCAGTGTGGGCCCAGTGGGCCAGTACACCAGCAGATCCAGACAGAAGATCACCTTGTCCTCCACATCGCCTCCCACTGCCCTCTGTACTGCATGTGACCACTGCAAATAAATAAATTAATAAGCAAATAAAGGTGACGCGTCACACTATCAGTCACTGACATAAACTCTCGTCCAGCAGTAGGCTCAATACAAACCTGTGCTACCATCGGCAATTAGATCCTTCTCTCCTTTGAGCAGCACGGTGATGTTTCCCATCGTTTCGCTGAGCTGCAGGACGCCACTACGGTGATCCACGCTGTCCACAGCCTTGTGTTGCTGAGAAGACAACATGCAGACGAGATGAAAAAAACTTTTTAGCGCAGACTGGAATGTGTCACTTGCCAAGAGACCCACCAGTGTCTCGTACAGTCGTGTGAACTCCATGAAATTGGGTGTGATGATGCCCTTTTGGTAGCCCTGAATAACAGACGGCTGCTTTGTGACCAGCCATAATCCATCCTTTAAAAGGCAAACAGAGAAAAACACCGCAGTGAGTCGTGATGACTGTAAAACACAAGGCAAAGTTGATCTGGACAAATACTCACTGCATCGATGACGATTGGAATATCTCTTGCTTTGGACTTCTCGATCACCTCCTTTAAAGGAGAAATACATTACTTATGGAAACATTCTGGTTCAAGATCCACTTGAGGCACCATCTGCTTGTTGTCATAGATCTTATCTCGAAACATATTTGAAATGCCCTTCATTAGCAGATAATGGCGGATGATGGCGCTGCAAGAATCCTTACAGGCGTGCTTGAAGGCGTGGCAAAGAAGGCTGGGAAAAGTGTGTGAGCCTCCAGGGGCGCTACTTCCACGGGAAAACTTGTACAGTGGAACCCTGAGTTATGAACGACTCTTTTTACACACTTTTCAGGTTCCGCATAAGATGTTTGTAGAAATTATGCCTCTAGTTAAGATACACGTCTCCGTTTATGCTTCAGTTGCTTCAGCAGATGTGGTATACATTTTTTATCCACAATAGGAAGAGACCGGATTCTGATCTGAAAATATCCACTTTTAATGCATTTTTTTTTTTTTTTACTGTATACAATGCCATGATGCATGTCCGCATCGTGTCACTTGAGATAAATAAATAAATAAGCATCATCGTTGTGTTACTTTGCATTGCGAATAAATCCAATCTATGTAATCCCCAGCATGGAAAGAATCACCTGTTTTATCTTAATGCCCTTAATTCTATGTTGTAGTTAAGTGCATGCAAATACACTGTACGTGCCTTGGCTGTTTTTAATAAGAAGTCCTCTCTCCCTAGACCAGGTCCCACCACAAGGCTGTGTAGTCTCGGGAGCCATTTTTCGATCTCCTCCACCGCATTTGGGCTGTCACTTTCAAAGGTACGCACACACAGACAATTGGTACAAATGTTACATAATGAAGTACAACCTCTAAAGTTGAATGTCTCAGAATATGCCAAAAATATGCCTTAAAAAAAAAAATTATATATATATATATATATATATCCCCAGAGGTCATTAATTGTGGTGCATGACGTCAAGCAGGACTTCATCTCGTTGAGCATCTAGAAGATGCAACCAATGAGAATGTTTTGTTTTGGCTTTTGAGAAAATGTGATGATAACTACTAAAGGTTTGCATCTCTCCAATAAAAGACGATTCGATACGCATCACACGTGGGGTAACAATATGATTTCAGAACAGCACATTTTCAAATGGAAAAATTCGGCTTGGTGAGACTTAGTGGGATTTAAATATTACTTGACATTGCCTGTACCAGTTTCTTCAGAGTTTATTCAGGCAGTTTGACCCTGTTACAAACAAAGTTATCATAGTTAACAAAAACTAACAAAATAAGTAAAACAAAAATTGAAAAAAACATTTGTGTGAACAAAATTAAATAATGAGAGGGCTTTTTAAAAACAACTGAAACTACATTCTATTTTTGTTCTGTAAGACTAACTATGGTTAGTCTTACAAATAGTGATCAGTGATCAAATACTGCATAGATAAAGCGATGACACTGGATCATTATAGTTTTTAACTGTGACCAAAGTGAGGCGGAAACTGAATACAGGAGGTTTTTTCTGCCATCTGCTCTCATGATCATTTTACACAAATGGTCTACTCACAGGACAGGATGAACTATGAGCTCAGGGCTGTAGGATTTGATTACAGCGGCAGCGTCTTTGGTGCAGAACACGTGAGACAAGTCAGCACCCTGGAGACGAGACAAAGACGGTGCGCCAAGACTGCATTCAAGGAAAGAGTAGAGAGCGAGAGGTATTTTATCTTACCACTTTCAGTGCCGAGATGGCGGCAAAGTAGGGTGCTCCAGTGTAGCTTGAGGGGGAAGACGGAAGCATTAGTGGGTGAAATCAAATGTGATCAATACGGGAATGAAATTGGAAGCTGGTGTGCGACATACTCTTGGCATCCGCCAATGATTCCGATTCGGCCGTCTTGTCCCTTGTGCTTGTGGCCGGACAACGGAGGGACTATCTTCTTCACGAGAGACAGGATGTGCTCCTCCATGCCCCCGTCAGACGTCGGGGCCAGGCTGTAGCGGCGCTCAAACACTGCAGTCATAAAACAAGGTTTAAACACTGTTTGGATTTAAATAAATGCAATCTGAAATCCTACTAACAAAATACACCAAAGTGATAAAAAGAACAGCTCATTTGTCCCCCCATCAAAAACAAAACCAAATTTTTTTTTTAAATTGCAATGTCAGATCTCAATAGCTGAAAGGAGAACTTTCTCTTCGTATTTTCCGCAAACTAAATTAAAAACATTTCAATAACTACCTCTTGTAAACAGGTACTTTTTCATTATATAAACCAACAAACAAACCCTGCTTGAGGCGACCATCAGATTCAAGACTCATTCAGAAACAAATCGCAAAGCATCATTGACCGAGAGCTCCGGCACAACCTGTGCCCTGCACAGGTGACAGCCACGCTAATACCTAATGGTCGAGTGTTTGGCTTCAACAGCTGACCTTGCTTGGCCAAACTGTCTCTTGGGGGCGAGGGCTGGCGGGGTGTGCACGACAGCAAGGCTTGGGAGAACACAGTGGCGTGGGTGGGCACGCTGGTTTTCAAGTGAGGAGGGGGCGCCGCTCCCGAACCCGGCCTGGCGGAGGAGATGTTGGAGAACATCTGACCGAGCATTTGGAGCATGTGCAGCTCCCTGGCATGCTCCGCCTCCCGCCGGTTGTCCTCGGCTTGCAAGCGGCGCTCCTCCATGCGGTAGAAGTTGTCTTCGGCCTGCGAGCTCTGCTTCAGGAACTGCTCCATTAGCCTCTCCATGGGGAAGTTAGCGCGCCGCCGCCGCCGCTGCTGCTGCTTGGGTGTGGAGGCGGAGCAGTTTGCTGCCAATTGGCTGCTGTTGGGAGGTCTTTCTGATGTACCTGAAGGGGCCACGAGACAATTTGATTTCAATATACATGTAGCAGTCCCAGATTTTTGACGGCCAAGGTGCTAGTCAAGAGTGATCATCCATTAACGCAGCTCTTAGCGCAAATAATCAATGATAAATAATCGAATCCCCAAATGAGCCAAATTCACCCAATAATAATAATAATAATAATAATAATAATAGGCACACATTTTATATTGAATTAAAAAAAAAATCACGGCATACCACCAAACAAAAATGTCACAAAAGGTGCATGTGCAGGTCAATATACCTTGTGCCGTCTTGCGGAAGAGCATTAAATTGTTGTTTGTCATTAAATGTCGATTACATCGAAAGGTGAAGCTACATTTATAGTCATTAAAATACTTTCTGACCAATTACGTGAATTTGTATAATTTCCTGTGGGGCACCTGGAGATCCCTCAGGGCACACTGGTTGGGAATCGCTGGTTTAATCCAAGTCACTAGTCTGTACAGTTAATAAAGGTTTTACAATGTCGACTCTGCAACAGATGAATTCTGTCAATTATTTTGTTTTTAAATCCAGAACAATCCGGAACGGATTGCGTTAAACCGGATCAACCGAGTTCATCTGTCCTGCATCTCGTCATGTTGTGTGTATGGTATTCTACCCATACTACCATGAATATGTAACTCTGGAGTATCTTTGACCCAACACCACAATAAGCATGAACTTTGACGCATAACAATGAATGGATGTGCACTTACTGTTATTACCCACTGTGACTTTAACCGGAATGGGGATGGGAATACTGGGGTATTCCAGCTTGACTTCAGTCTCAGCAGGGAAGGGACAGTCTCCAGTACTTTCGGAGTAGACGTCTTGAGCATCCTCCGCATCCTCATCCAAGCCGTCCACGGCCTCCTCCCCTCCCGGCCCGCCATCTATGAACTCTTGGGGGTCAAGGGCGGGCCGGTTACTCAGGATCCTCTCCATGGTGTCGTAGAACTTGGCGATCTTGTGATATTGCCTGTTGTTGCGCAGATTTCCCTCCTTGGCGAGCAAGTATTGTCTTTTGAGGCTTTTAATCCGCACCCTGCACTGCTCCGGCGTGCGCTCAAAGCCCATCGCCGCCAGCCGCCGGGACACGTCGCGGTAGACGAAGCTGTTGCGGAAGTTGCCGTCCAGCGCCTCCTGGACGTCCTGCTCCCCCCAAATGTTCAACAACGTCCTGGTCTCCGCGTCCGACCACAGAAAGCCCCGCGTTGGGGTGTTTTGTAGCATAATCGAGCCTCGGGTACTTGGGATGGATGTAGCTGGCCTGGTTCTCTACCTGCGCGTCGTCTCCAAAAACCTCAGGCGGGGTCGCTATCCGACCGTTCAAGTGTCTTAAAATGGTGAAAGCGTGCGTATTGTGCAACTGGGGGAGCATTTGTACGTCGAATCGCGGTGTTCTAGCTAAACCTTGCCATGTTTATCCCTTTACGTCGTTCGCAAAAATGCCTAAGCTGGGAAGTTTCGCCAAAACTGAACAAGGACCAGCTTTCTGAACCAATCCACGTCGTTAGCCACATTTTGGTGAATTTGAGAAACTGACCCCTGATCGGTCCTCTGAGGGAGACGCTGCGCGTCCACCCCGAGCCTACGTGATGTCTGCCGGGTCCTAAAGACCATCAAGTCAATTTCCAAGCGAAACACCATGGCTGTGAGCTGTCAATACCTCGACCGAACAGTGAATATAAAACAAAAATAACGCTATAACACGGAGATGAAAATATACTAAACACGTGGTCCCACTTTACCTTCCATGTTCAAACAGAACAATGTGGCGAGAATCGCCACCGTGATGGTGACAAACAAGAAGGCGAGCGTCTGAACGGGCTGCGGCATGTTGTTGTCATTCATTGTTTACTGGCATGCTCGTCGCCGACACGAAGCTTTTCCCCGAAAGGAAGATCCTATGTGGTGGATACACTTCTTACCTAAACTCCAATTGCGTATCAACGCTGTCAACTGTGCACATTTCCGTCTGGTCATGAGGCTTTACTTAGCCACAGGAATACAGGAAGAAATAGTTCACGATGCCTTTAATGACTACTCGGAAATTCCTAAAACCACTAAAAACTGTCATATCTGTACGACGATTCTAGGACATAAAGCTCGAGTCCTAACGATAACTGTTTCTTTTATCTGGATTGCCTGGCGTATTCATTTAGACTTGATCGTGGGACATTTGAGAATAATTGATATATCAATATGGAGATGTTGTGATGACTCTGCGTAATCATCAGCGATGTCAGTAAAACTCGCGAGGCTTCATTTTGGTGAGTATTTAGGGATTACCTTCAAAAGTGTACCTGTATTTGGCTTTTTCTCTGTCTTTTATTTTTGTGACGACAACACAAGTGTATCAGTGATGCCAAAGATTACATTTTTTTTATGCTGAAGTGCTGTAGACCAGAATTGTATTAATTATTCCAATGCGAAAGCTATTACTTTAGAATTACATTTGAATGATAATGTATGTATCCAATTCATGTCCATTTTAATTAATTTATGGCATGTCTATGGATCCATCCTTCGTTCCATCTTTCCATCCATCCATCCATCCATCCATTCATTTTATATAGTACTTTTTAGGGTCACGTATGAGAAGGTACGGAGCCCCTAAGGGTACATGGAAGAAAAAAAAAACTTGGCGTTCCCTCGCAAAGTTTTGCAGTCTCCCGCAAAGTTTTGCATTCCCTTGCAAAGGTTTGCATTCCCTCGCAAAGATTGCGGTTTTTTTCCTTCCATGTCCACTTAGGGGCTCCGTAGCATTCAGATTAATATAGCTTTTGTGGAACATTAATTAAGCAGCAAAATACTTGTTTTTATCCATCTCAGGTGCGGCGTTTTTGTCCTGGATTGCCACTTGCTTTCTACTGAAAATGACATCACAGTGCCTCAGGGCTTCGGTAACGACCAATCACAGCTTACCTGTTTTCTGTCTTTGGTCATGTGACATTCGCACACTGAGCCCTGAAGCACTGCGATGTCATTCTCAGTTAACAGCAAGTGGCAAATTAGCCGCTCCCTGAGGTAGCTAAAGACAGGTGGATTTTGCTCCTCAATTCATATTCCACAAGCGCAGTGTTAATAAGAATACCGTGTTTAGACTAGTGGGGCCGCATAGAACATATTATTGTAAAATTAAAAAAAAATCTCTCTCTCTCTCTCTCTCTCTCTCTCTCTCTCTCTCTCTCTCTCTGTCTGTGTGTGTGTGTGTGTGTGTGTGTGTGTGTGTGTGTGTGTATATATATACAGTATACAGTATTTATATTTAACTTGACTTACACTTTAATAACTTTGAGCTACTGTGTAAACATTTCATGACGTAGAATTGAAAGTGCCCCTGGATCCTCGGAAAGAGGGAAGAGCGCCTTGAGGGGGCGGGGCCACGTTTGAACCTGCGAGGCGTGATTGAAGACCAAGTTCCCCAATTTCACTTCCTGTTTCACCTCACTTGTGGTTGTAACCACTTAAAAGTGCGAGCATAGATTTCAGGATGAGCCGCTTATAACAATCACCACTTTCGACTTAGCCATGTCAAAAATGGCGTTTGTTTACCCTACGCTCTTGACTACTACGAGTTAGATCGCCCGTTGTGATTATTTTACGTAACATAGCGTAACTCCGGCTGGGCGAAGCGGCGGCGAACACAACATGCCCGAGTCTTCGAAGATGAGGAAGCCCGACGTGAAAGTGGTCCTTCTGGGGGACACGAACGTGGGCAAGACGTCTCTCCTTCACAGGTACACGGAGAGAAAGTTCAAAGACACCATCAGCACCGTCGGAGGGGCGTTCTTCCTCAAACAGTGGGGGCCCTACAACGTCTCCATATGGGACACCGCTGGTAATACCTCCTCTCAAATGTATTTGTTTTCTTGCGAATGCTAATGCCCGTGTGTTTACGCGCTGGGGACTGTCAAAAACGCTCAATGTACGTGTATGCAAGCTGAACGTCACTTGAGGTCAGAAAACTGCTACAATTGTCACGAAAATTCACTTAACGGCCACTTCAGTCTCTGAACAAATCCAAACAATCATCACAGTATTTTTTTACTTTATTAGCATTTTTCCTACCAGAGACATTCACAACAGAGAAAAAGATATACGTCGTTAGAAACGACGCCCAGTCGCCACCAAAATTACTGTCCGCATCACATGTGCCCACACAACTCTGAAAATATCAAATGGAATTTTATGGACATTACGCGTTTTCCTCATTATGCGACATAAAGGTAGAGTGCATGTGCACCGAGAGGAAGACTTAATTAATGTCCATAAAATCCCAAATATTAGTGCGCTCCTTTTAATAATTTCAGAGATTGATGCGAGTATGTGAGGAGATTTTGGTAAAGATTCATCACAGTTTTATGACATCAAGTGACGTTAAGCTTTTTTGAAACGGAACGTGCACAAAAATCAAAAATATTGGTGTGACTGTTTTGATATTTACAGACATTGATTGGGCCGAGGGAGTTGTGTACATACATTTTGGTGGCGATTGGTTGTAGTTTTGAAACATTAAGTGCTGTTTTCAGCTTTTTCTCTATTAACATCTATGGGCAGAATAAAAAAGGTTCAATGCCTGTCGAATACAAAATACACCAGCGATTGTGTTAATATTTTCAAAGGTTCAAGTGAGCTATGCATTTTTTTTTTAAATGAAGCGTTTAAGACTGTCCCTTCTCTCTGCGCTTGCCCAGTGATGCATGATTCCCACGGTTGAGGCAATCACTGGCATGTGATCTGCAGTTTGGATAGAAGCAAATGGGGACTCGTCTCTCTCATGGGGACTGTTGGCACAATTCTTACCTGTGTTACGAAGTGGACAAAGTATCTGACCTTTGCTTATCGAAGCGGAGGCAGCCGCCAGCCCTGAAACTTCGTTTAATTTTCCCCATTTGACTTATTTTTCCAAGACACTCAGAATATTATCTACTGTGACAAAAAAAAAAGTACTGTCACACTCGCTGCCATTCGAAATATAACCAAAGACTCATCTTCAACTAGAAAAAAGTTTCTCGCTTGTTATGTTCCGTAGTAAGCAGAAGTTGAACATGGGTTGGTTTCACCAAAAAGCGGTGAAAAACAGCTTTTCATGCAAACAGAACAGACTTTGATGCCTGAATGTTTTTTGCTTTTGTGACATCTAAAACGCTAAGAAAACATAATCAAGACTCAGAAAGGGCTCTTGATGACAAAATAGTAATTCATAAAATGTGATGTGAATGACACTGACTCATCACTTTGGCCACAAAAATTAGTTGAAACAAAAATATATGCCTCAAAAGTCTTTATTATTATTATTATTATTATTATTATGATTACAATACAATACAATACATGCTGATTTATATAGCGCTTATTATTATGTATTTCTTTTGGGGGGGGTGATGCGCAAAACCAACGTTTCTACACAGACATTTGTTGACTGCTAGACGCATGGTGTACTCTCGCGGCAACATAACGGTCTCTCCTTGAATTATGCTCAGGGTTTGGAGTTGTTTTCATCCTCAGAAACTTGAAAAAGTTTAGTGCTGTAACCGCAAGACTGAACCGGGATCTCTTGGAAAGAGGAACACGAAAAGGGGACTTAAACACGTGACTTCGAGCTGGCGAGCAGCAGCGGCGGCCACCGACTACTTTAGGACTACGGTGGTTAATAGTAGGATGTTTCTTGATTTATTTTTTTTTTTTTAACTCCAGCAAATCCAACATATCCTACCGGCACTAATTATAACACGCTATATTGTATTTATTTTGCAAATGACGCGAGTTTGGAACAAACATACAGCTTGCTTCAAAGCACGTCTCCATGGCAGTGATCGCATTTTGAGTCTAACATGATGTGATTGTAACGATTATGGTTCCCTTCGTAATTGATCGGATAATCCATTCCAAGCGATTCGTTTTGTTAACCACTGTTCATATTACGATGCGTTTCTGATTGCTTTACTGACTGCCTTGTGTAACGTCATGCCCGAGAGCAGTTTGAACTTTTGTGTCAAGTACATCAGCCAACCCAAAGTATTGGCCTAGCATTCCAAATTGTCCCGGCGTTCAATTCCATGTAGCGTATGACAGTAATTATCAAATGACCATCAGGAGGCAACTCCCCCGCAAGCGTTGCCTCAGGAAAAATGCCCAAAATTGAGCAATTTGAACGACAGCTGTTGTTGCGAAATATTGGAGTCCATGCGGAAGAAAATCCAAGGCCAGCTAACAGGAAGAACAGATTTTTTTGTCCCGATAATGATGTCATGTCATGACTAAGTGATCATTTCCTCCCCCTATCTTGCTATTATATGCTGTGATGTCACAGGCCTTTGGTGCCCCTCGTCGTCCAAAATTTCTGGGGGAATTTTCAAGGTGGCCACAAAGAAGTAGAGTCTTTCTCCAGCTACAGTCTGAGGTTGAATGAACAAGTTGTGGGTGATAAACTGTTTACTCAAGTCTTGCCTATCGAATTGAGATTCAATTCGAAAAGCTCTGTGACAAATCCCTCCTCAGCAGTCAGAAACAGAAACGGCCATTGTTCACTTTCGCTCATGCTAACAGTTGATTATTCAAGTTGACTTTTTTGCATTTGTACAGCGCTTGTGTCCCGGGCTAATCTGAAAGATGATAATGTACCGTCATGATGTTGACCGAACGTGCTCGCTGTGACGCGAGTCATTACGAGGAACCGCTGCGTACACATGACTTACTCAACTATTTCAGTAAGGTGGGATAAGGAATGGTTGGCCTTGGCCAGTCACTTCCTGTCTGCATTTCCATGACCTCTCCCAAGACTTAATCACCCGCTTTAGTGGGTCACTTACGAAACGCAAGATCAGTGCCATTCTGGTCAAGAAAATTTTTGTGTGACGTTTTCAAAACAAACAAGTTGCCCGCTGCTCTTTTTGGGCATTTTTTTTTTCTGTCTGCCTTTTTCATTTGGACAGCTGGGTTCGTTTCAAAGACGTGTTTTTAGGGATCTTGCCCTGTTCCTCTTAATAGTCACATGATGGTGTGATGACAGGAAGACCTTATGCCTCAGCCAGCTATTTCCAGCAGCACAACAACGTCTTTATCAGTTCCTCGCAGCGTGTACGACGAGAAATACTCTCACGTCTTCAACAGATGTGCCGTATTGCTGGACATCATAGTGATAAGAGTGTACTTATTATCCCCGGATCAGGTGACTCCTCACATTACATTGTTGTCTGATCTGACGGTCCACTGAATCATAATCAGTAGGATCATTCATCTTTGGAGAAAGATGGTTTTGAAAGGTGGCAGGGGCGATTGAGTAGAATTTATAAATCATGTGAAGGAAATGATCACAGAAGTGGACATTGGTCAGCAAATTTTTACTAAATGTTTTAATCAAATTTGGGTCCGTATATTTTTTTTTCTTTTGCGCTGATTCCGAGTCTGCCCTCGTTTTACTCTTACATATCCGGTGTTCATGATAATAACAATAAACAAATAATATCAATCATATTTATGAATTTAGAGTTACGTTCCTTAACAGGTGGATTTTTTTTTTTTTAATCTGATATCATAGCTATAAATGACACGACATGGGATATTCCGTATTGCACAAGATAATGTGGGTCAAACGTACAAACAACAAAAAAAGGAAATGTCTCAAAAACCTGATGTGCGAACATTTTTAAAATCAGCGTAAAAAAAAACACAGTGAATGACTCACAAAGCCGCCGCTGATGAAAATGTGCCGTTGACTTTTGGTATTAATCGAGTTTTCTTGGTGGCGCCGGCGAAGAAACATTTTGTGCGGCCGAACGTGGTTTCAGAAACAGAGGTTGTTTTTGTTGCAAAACAGCCGACTTTTTCCCACGCTGGACTCTTGAGACCCGCGCATGTTTATAACTGACACAGTTTAGTTGTGCTTCCTATCGTAGTTCACCAAATACACGAAGAATGCCATACGAAGCGCTAATGGGGACAGGATAACTCGACATGGGAAACTTCTGTGAAAACGCCAAAGGGGGTGCCGTGTAACTCCTCCACAACAGACGAATGGAGCGGTTGAGCCGTGCCGTTTGACCGCTCATTTTATGACGTCGAATCATCATTGTGAATGTTAATTTGTCAAGGATTGTGTTTGTGTGCATGTTTTAACAAAAGGGAAAGTGCTTTATTTCCAAAATTTGATGCAAGTTAATGTGAAAGCTACTTCGGCAAGTCCCAGAAGGGAAAAATAAACGAAAGCAAAACGTGTTCTGAATAATGTTTTTGTCGCTTTCTTTTTCTTTCAGCAAAGGGGGAAAAATAGATTAAAATCACAATTTTAGGCCATACTGCTTCGTCCCACCTGTCATTGCTGTTCACAAAGAAAAGTGTGAAAGGGACTACAGGTGCATAAAAAAGGAACAGATTTAGAACTTGGAACTTGTTTCGACTAAATTTGTGAAGTAATAAGTCCATTTAAGGTCGGCCCGGTGGTCCAGTGGTTAGCGCGTCGATCCCTCACAGTGCAGAGGTCGTGGGTTCGATCCCAGCCCTCATGTGTGGAGTTTGCATGTTCTCCTCGTGCCTGCGTGGGTTTTCTCCGGGCGCTCCGGTTTCCTCCCACATTCCAAAAACATGCATGGCAGGCTGATTGAACACTCCAAATTGTCCCTAGGTGTGAGTCTGAGCGCGGATAGTCGTTCGTCTCTGTGTGCCCTGCGATTGGCTGGCAACCGGTTCAGGGTGTCCCCCGCCTACTGTCCGAAGACAGCTGGGATAGGCTACAGCACCCGCTGCGACCCTCGTGAGGATAAAGCGGTTCGGAAGATGAATGAATGAATGAAAGTCCATTTGAATTCAGCCCCTATTCAAAAGTGGGTCAAAATCAGGCTTGAAGTGTATGCACATCCTGTGACTTTTTTTTTTCCATGGCCTCCAACTTTGAATCTTGCTCCACAGGGCGGGAACAGTTCCACGGCTTGGGCTCCATGTACTGTCGTGGCGCCGCCGCCGTCATCCTGACTTACGACGTCACCAACTGGCAGAGCCTGGCCGAGCTCGAGGAGCGCTTCCTGTCGCTGACGGACACCGCCAACCACGACTGCATTTACGCCGTCGTGGGCAACAAGGCCGACCTGACGGACACCAAAGCCTATCTGTCTCAGGAGACGCCCGACGCGAATCAAACGGAATCGGAGGAGCACCGATCAGACGTGCTGTCCGCTTGCCCCACGCCGCCCGCCTCGCCCGTGTCCATCTCCGGCGTCACGTTTCCAAAGCAAGTCACCCGCGAAGACGCGTTGGCGTTCTACGGGCGGATTCTTCGCTACAAGGGCTCGGACGAGAGGACCAGCCTGCCCGCGGAGAAGATGTGCTTCGAGACCAGCGCCAAGACCGGTTACAACGTGGACGCTCTGTTCGAGGCACTCTTCGACCTGGTGCTCCCCTCCATGCTGAGGAAGAGGAACGAGAACCAGCAGTCTGCCACGGTGGACTTGGAAGTGTGCAGGAAGGGCGGCGGCAAGCGGGGCCGATCGACCTGCTGCTAAAGACCGAACAAGCAAGACCCCGCAGGAAGTGATTTAAACAAGCAGTGGCACCGATGAATATGTGAATTGACAAAGAAACCACTCGCCTTTGTCGCCTTGAATACCTTCTTCATACTGTGAAGCAGCATCTCTCTTGACATTTTGGAGTCTTTGCTATGACTAAAAATGGATGTCTGCGGACAATAAACACACTTCAGAATCCCCCCAAAATCATTTTCATGAACCTGAACTGCACTAATTCATATGATTAGGTAGCACATTATACTGTCTTTAATAGCACTTTTCATTTGAATGTTTCCACGGATCAGACTAAAATTCTTGTTACATTCATTAACGCCGATGTATTTTATGCTATGTGACTTCTCACTTTCTGTATGGAATGGCACACAGCCATGTTGAATTTTTTTTAAATGTCATGATAATAAAGATTTTTATTTAGCTGCGGTTCGGTATTGAAATCACACGAGGACTTTTAGAAACAACATTTAATCTTTTATAATGCAATAATGATGTAGTTCAATGAATAAGTGTTGTTTTGAACAAGTATTATGTGGTGTGTTTCCAAACTGGGATGAAATGGACCGTGCCTTATACGGAGGACTTGAGCTGACCTACCATACACAAAAACAGTTAACCCATCAGTGCTCATAACTTAGAAAAGAGAACACATTTTCAATCTTTGCATCAAATTTGTTCATAAACGGAATATGGTTCTTCAGCGGTCATTGGATCAGTTTACGAACAGCAAAAATCCGCATATAAGTGACGGCCATTGAAATCCGATGAAAATGCAAAAACAATTTCTTCTTTTGTCATGCCCCAAACCGCTGATAATCTGTTTTCCACCAAAAATTGGAGGTTGCACCCATCCTCCCAATGAAAGACAAAAAAATAAAAATAAAAATCCAATCTGGGGGTCTACTTTTGTAGATTAAAAATTTTGAGTTGGTGAAAACTAATCAAGTTGCCCTGCAGTTGCCCATCCCTGTCCTTGGATGGCTTCATAAAAACGACAAAGTCTCCTGATAAGGACAAGGTTACCCAAGGATAGGGACAAGGTTACCCAAGGACCTTGGATCCAGGCTGTTTATGTTCTATCCGCCGGGCAGGTGAATTAATCATTAGCGTATTTGTCAAGTGGAAAGTGAACCTGAAAATACATTTCGCTGCACTCAAGTTCATGTACTGCAGACGCTTAACCTCAAAAATAGAATCAGTGCGTTCTGTGGGTTGCAATGAACGTTACAGGTAATAGAAGTGCATATGACATGGAAACGACTCGTCAGAAGTCATCAAAAAGCATAATAATAGTGAAAGCCTGGTGGACAAGAAGAGTTAGTGGCTTAAAGATAAGGTTGGATGCAGTGCAATAGTAGCAATGAACAGTCTCTGTGTGATTGCCTGAGGTAATAAGTTAAAACAGTAAGCACCATTACACATTTAGAACGAACATACTTGTTTCTCAAGGCACCAAACAGTCACTGCGTATATGAGCTTTGTGGCCAAAATTACACATGGAATCTCCTTTCACAAGTTCTTCATGCAGACTTGGCAGCGGCTGATGCGCGACAGGAGCTGGCCCGCTTTGAGCGTCTCTGATGCCGGTTCGGCGTGGAAAGACTGATCGATGGAGGTGAGCCAGAAGCTGTGCTTGTTGGCGAAGTAATGACACGTGCCCTTGGCGCCGTTGCACTCGATGAACGGCGACGTCCGGAAGTCTTCCAGACACGATCCGGGCGATGACAGCGACTGACCCCCGCCTTCATTTCCTGCTGCCGTGTGCTGCGAGAAAGAGGTCAGTCATTTTTCATTCATTTGGTGGTGACAGATTTGTGTAATATTTGTTGTATTCTGTAATTATGATTAAAATCCCCAACGTGGTGACTGAATTTAGAGTATATTTGTATGTATTTTAAATCTCTTATGCATAACGCCGATACAACATATACATGTGAGGTGCAGGTATTATTTTTGTCCACTTGGGGTCACCATCCTCACGTTCCACACTGTTGCATCTGTGCCTTTGAATGTGTGTGGCTTTGAAAAGCGGGGCCTGGCCTGTTGCGTGATCTGGGAATTAGCGAATGAGAGTGTTGTTGTTTCAGGATAGCAGATGGCTTTTAAGTGGCTAATCGACGTTAGTTGTGGCTTTTAGGAGCTCGTTCCTCCTGGCTAGCTCTTATTGCCAAGTGAGTCTTCAGTAACTGTGTGGAAAAAAGGATCACTGCAACATTTGGAATAGATGTCATCACCACCCCCAAAAAATAGCACTATATTGTCGAAAAAAATATAACTTCATTTCTGTACTAGCATACATGCTTTTTGTTCAATGAAAAGGGTAAAAAAAAACTAACTGAATGCAGAGATGTGACTGTGTGATTTATGTCATATGTCATAATCATATTGGAGGTTTTAATTGGCGCAAAGCTAAAATAAGCCAGAAGCTGTGCTTGTTGGCGAAGTAATGACACGTGCCCTTGGCGCCGTTGCACTCGATGAACGGCGACGTCCGGAAGTCTTCCAGACACGATCCGGGCGATGACAGCGACTGACCCCCGCCTTCATTTCCTGCTGCCGTGTGCTGCGAGAAAGAGGTCAGTCATTTTTCATTCATTTGGTGGTGACAGATTTGTGTAATATTTGTTGTATTCTGTAATTATGATTAAAATCCCCAACGTGGTGACTGAATTTAGAGTATATTTGTATGTATTTTAAATCTCTTATGCATAACGCCGATACAACATATACATGTGAGGTGCAGGTATTATTTTTGTCCACTTGGGGTCACCATCCTCACGTTCCACACTGTTGCATCTGTGCCTTTGAATGTGTGTGGCTTTGAAAAGCGGGGCCTGGCCTGTTGCGTGATCTGGGAATTAGCGAATGAGAGTGTTGTTGTTTCAGGATAGCAGATGGCTTTTAAGTGGCTAATCGACGTTAGTTGTGGCTTTTAGGAGCTCGTTCCTCCTGGCTAGCTCTTATTGCCAAGTGAGTCTTCAGTAACTGTGTGGAAAAAAGGATCACTGCAACATTTGGAATAGATGTCATCACCACCCCCAAAAAATAGCACTATATTGTCGAAAAAAATATAACTTCATTTCTGTACTAGCATACATGCTTTTTGTTCAATGAAAAGGGTAAAAAAAAACTAACTGAATGCAGAGATGTGACTGTGTGATTTATGTCATATGTCATAATCATATTGGAGGTTTTAATTGGCGCAAAGCTAAAATAGGAAGGAATAATTTGCTGCTAGTCACCATATAAAGGTACCAATGTGCACTTTTTTCAATGATACAATACGACTTAATGATTCGAACCACCAGGCTGCGGCTCGTGGACCCTCTGAACGACAGTTGTCTCCTAATACAGAATATATGTATTCATATTGATGCTTTTGGTTTGGTACAATCATAGGGGTAGTATTCCGGTTTCCTTCGATGTTTCAAAAGCATGCATGTCAGGTTAGCTGTTCTCGTTCCGGCTATAAGCCGTTGGCGGAGGTCTACGCTCGCAGTTTTGAAAGAGCTCGTGTCATGGATCTCATCAGACTGCACACTATTCACCATGAGGAAGGAGTAGCCAATCCACAGGCTGCGCCATCCAGCGGGGCACTGCGGAATGGTGATGTCCTGGCTGTGCACGGCGATGGCGACCGACGGGGCCTCGCAAACCGAGCAGCGGCTAATGTAGGGTTTGATCTCGCCCTCCTCCACGGGCATCATGGGCAGGGGGGCGGTGGTGGACAGCCAGTAGGACTTGTCATTCCTGCTGGCGTAATAGCAGATGTCGCCGGGGTTGCAGTACAAGAAGGGCATGGTGCTGAAGCGAGGAAGGCAGGAGCCAGCCAAACCTGATGACAACAACCCAAATGTAATACGCCTCGATTTCATATTCATCAAGCATGACATCACTTCCGTTTCACCAGACTCACCAAGGTCCTGGTTGTGAGCCTTTTCCTGGCCTTCCAGGTACAAAAGACTGTATCCGTCCCATATCTTTGACATGCCCACGGGGCACATGGGAGTCTTCTCGGACTGACTGTGCTTCACCAGCAAGTAACCCACGCTAACACTGCGGCCGGGCATACCAGGTAAGCCGGGGACACCTGGTTTACCCCGGTTACCTTTGACCAAACATAATGCAATATATCAACAAACTGTCACAAACAGCTCCCTGAAGCCCCAACAACCACCTTGACTATAATACGGCAGTTGTATAATAAAACAAGAGTACAAAGATACATTCCGTTGTTCTCAACTATCCGTTGATCATTTACGGCTCTCAGTAGTTTCTCTGTTTATCAATTAAATGAACCTTTTACAAAACAAGAACCAGTTCCCTGCATAAAACTGCACCTACTTTTCAATCCTTTAATCCAGGACTATGAACGCTAATCCTCATCTGCCCCGATCAGACGTACCTTCCATGCCTTGCAGACCAGCGTGGCCCACTTGACCTGCCTCTCCACGGAACCCAGGCGTTCCCGGTGTTCCACCTATTCCGGGCATGCCTTTCTGTCCAATGGGCCCAATAAAACCTGAAAAGTAACCGAGCTTGTTAATTTGATCTTTTTCATCAACTCGAATATTTGTCAATATTACAGAATTAAAATGATTAGTTTATGTTTTAATGAATTTAAATGTTTTCATAATTTCTTGAAAAAAATATCACAGCAAATGTCAGTGTTGCAAAATAAAAAAGAAAAACTGACCAGCATCCCCAGGGGGTCCCCTTGGTCCTGATTCGCCTTGAATGCCTCTCGGTCCCTGAATACCCTGTCGTCCAGGTAGGCCCCTCTCTCCTGGGACTATGCTCTGCTCTGCAAGTGGACCCTGGTTTCCCGGCAAGCCACGTAAACCTGCAGCCCAAACAGATCATTTCAGACAACACCAGGACAAACTGGGCACTAACCAGTCAGAAGTCTTCATATAATTAGTTAGTATTTTACCTGGAGGTCCAGCATCTCCTTTGGGGCCATATGGTCCTCTCTCTCCCTTGACCCCAATCTGACCAGGAGTCCCCATTGTACCTTGTTCCCCTTTCTCACCTGTCAGAAATGCACGAAACTACAAATTCACTGTGATGTAGACGACCACAATATTTCATGAAGGGTGTGGTGGATGTGGATTTCTCCTGCGGTAATTTTGGTAATCTAAGCATACTCTACCTTTCTTCCCCGAAATTCCATTTGTTCCCCTATAGCCGCCTGAACCTTGGTCTCCTTTGAACCCTTTCCTACCGGGGACTCCGGGAAGCCCAAACGTTCCAGCTATACCCTTTTCTCCAGCTGAGGCATCGAAACCAGGAAACCCTCTGGTTCCAGGGTAACCTGCAAAACATCATTTTAGTGTTAGGAAAAATACTGCGGCATTACCATTCACAACTATTGTCAGTAGTTCTTTGCGGCTTGTACTGAAACCATACATTTTGGATAAATTAAATAAATACGCATAAGCTTGTAAGCCTCTCCAATTTTTAGGCCCGTGGGTCAGGAGCTCCATCAGGAGCATTTTAAGTAGCATTCAAGTAAACAGCCATGGCGATAATGATGCTTTTGGTTGTTGAAACAGTATGTGCTTACCTTGGAATCCCTGTGGTCCAGGAATGCCCTTATCCCCAAGGGGTCCTTGTCGGTCTGGTTTCCCATCAGGTCCTACAGGCCCGCGGGTTCCTGATGGTCCAGGCTGACCTTGGTCACCTGAACAGATCCAACATGGGTACAGTCATTAGCCCAGTGGCTCACATGAAACCACAGCGTTCAGCTGCGAGTTGAGGAAGTGGCACAGAAACATACCAACATCTCCTTGGAAGCCTTTCGAACCCGCAACGCCCGGCACACCCGGCTGGTTGTTGGTGTTGCCATCATCACCCTTCTCTCCCTTGGTTCCTGGGTTGCCAGATGGTCCAGTAGTATCCAAACCTAGCAAGATTGCAACCAGAAGCAATGTTCAACTCCCACAAGGGCTTTCCTCAAATTGGAATCCTGAAGCATCAGTTACTGGAACACTGGCTATTCATTATTATGGGATAACATTCTGCAAAAATACCTGCGATTCCAGATAGACCCTTTTGTCCTTTCAGTCCATCTAATCCATAAAGACCAATGAGACCAGGGAAGCCTGCACACATTTGCAAATAAAGAAGGAATGTGACGAATAAAATTCAGACCTGCTGAAAAAGGGCACAACTGAATTGATCCGTTCCTTTAACCTTTTGTTCCTGGAACGCCTGGGAAACCTGGCTGTCCGACTTTTCCGGGTGTCCCAGCAAAACCCTTATAACCTTGGTTGCCGGGAGTTCCTTTCTGTCCATCGAAACCTGCACATTTTGGAAACAATTTAATGGAGTACAACTGCAATCTAATTCGGTGTAAAATAGAATAATAAGGGCTAGAAGGCAAACCTCTTACCTGGAAACCCCACATCGCCTGCATCACCTGACTGCCCCCTTTTCCCTTCTATACCATCAAAACCAGGGAGTCCCCTCTCCCCATCCACCCCAGGTAATCCTCTCGGACCTATTTGGATGACACCAAACATTTAATAACAGGACAGTGATCCCCAGAAATGCCATTACGCACTGCAGCAGATATACCATGAATTATAGTTTGCTGTACCTGGGTCTCCTGAAGAACCAACCTCTCCTCTCAATCCAGTCGCCCCTGGAATGTCGATGCGAGGGCCGCCCTCACCTTGAATCATATAAAAATATCAGGTAATGATGAACTGTTGTCAACAAATATTATTGAGTTGTAAGTCAATTCGGAATTTACACCTTTGATTCCCTTCCTGCCCTTGTCTCCTGATGCACCATAGGCACCGGGACTTCCTTTGACCCCCTAGAAACAAGAACAAGGCATTACAAATGAACTGTGACAAACAATGTATGATGTTAGAATGGAACATTACATTTGATAAATAACAAAAGATTCCAAGTCACCTTTTCACCAGTCATCCCATCAAAGCCAGAAATTCCTTGACTGCCAATATATCCTGGCATCCCTTTGAACCCTGGTAGACCCTGTGCACCCGGATCCCCTTGGAAACCCTTTTCATGACTGGGCTCTCCAGGAAAGCCATGACCTCCCTCACGGCCCGGAACACCAGGAAGGCCCTTTGAGCCTGTGGAAATCCATTGTGTGAGGAAGTGAAATAAGAAAGAAAATGCAACATTTTTGGGGGGGCTGTGGCGACTATCTGATTCACCTCTTGGTCCGACGAAACCTTGATTTCCTCGGTCCCCAGGTTCTCCCTTGGTTCCTTTCATGTCGACTATCATCTGTGCAGGGATCTCTGGCTTCTCGCCAGGTGGGCCCCTTAACCCACGATCACCTGACAAACAACGATTAATCAGCAAATGAGAGTGAGTAAAAATTAGCAACAATTCTGAAATAACGGCTGAGATTGCATTTTAGAAAAGACGGGTCCTGCACCTTTTTCTCCAGTTTTGCCTGTCACTCCTTTAGGGCCAATTTGTCCTGGCAATCCAAGGTCTCCTTTTATCCCACTGACTCCTTTAACGCCTGTATTACCAGAGACGCCGCCAAAGCCAGCCATGCCAGGGGACCCTTTGTAACCTTGAAATTTGGAAGCATTGCCTCATTGAAATGCTCAAATCCTGGACATTTGGGTTAGAATATTACAGAAATGAACATCTGTGGAACTGACCTTTCATTCCTGGAGGTCCTGGTTTTCCATCTGGCCCAGGCAATCCTGCGTTACCTGGCGAGCCGTTCTCCCCAAGAACCCCATAGTTACCAGGTTCCCCTGGGAATCCTTTAATTCCAAAGAGACCCGGAGCTCCCGGATCTCCTTCTGTTCCCCTTTGACCAGTTAAACCTGGATAACAGGGTATGTTAGATACGAACAAGGATGTTTCAAAGATATGCACTCATGGATAGGGTGTCACCTGGTTGTCCGACAGCACCCTGTGGTCCTGGTGGTCCAGCATTGCCAGGATCACCAGGGTAACCATAATTGCCTGGTGGTCCAGGACTTCCTTCAAACCCTTGCGGGCCTGGAAGGCCAATGCCACCTTTGGGACCAATCATACCAGGCATGCCCCCCATTCCTGGAGCGATAGGCAGAATGCAACATCAAATAAAAACAAAACCATAAGGTCGACTGAAGTTTACACCCTCCCTTCCCAGCATTTCTGGAACTGGGAAGGGAGGAACCAACACGAAATGTCAAAGCCAAACCCCCTTCCATGCTGCCTGTCAAGCTGTTTTTTTTCTTGTCTTGTACCTGTTCTACTGTTTTGTGTGAAAGGTTATTACTGTGGATAGATGGGGCTGAGGCAACTTGCAAATCCCTCACCTATATTGTGTAGTGTCAGAGACCTTGACCTTGCTATTTTGATTCCTTCATGGGTATTAGTGCAGAAATTGTCACTATGTGATGTACCTGGATAGCCCGGTTCTCCTTGATCTCCAATGAAACCCTTGCTCCCTTGAAGCCCATACAGTCCTGGGTCACCAGGGGGTCCCTGGGATGCGCCCAATACTTCCCCGTGGACACCTTTATCCCCGGGTGCTCCCATCCTTCCGGATAGTCCAGGCGCACCTGGAGATCCAACGGACCCTTTTCTGCCCGGCACGCCCAAATCACCGCGGGGACCAGAAAAACCTATCACAAGGGACCAATGGAGTTCATAGAACAATCTGGCAGGGTAGTAAATATTAGGTTTCACAAACTGCAGAGCTATATAGCTTACCTGGTGGTCCAGGTTGCCCACCTGGGCCATAGTCTCCTCTTTCTCCTTTATCTCCCTTTAGTCCAAATAGACCTGGTAGACCCTTATCACCTGGAAGACCTAATAGTTGATGAGAGAAAATAATAGTAAATCCAGCAAACTAGTTGTCCAAAAAACCAAGACCTCTCTTGTGCTTCTGGTCTTTACCTGTGAGACCAGGTAATCCTCTGGGTCCAGGAGAACCTGGCAGTCCAGGAGGGCCTGGGAAACTCCCACAAGGACCTAAAAAGAAAGTTAAAAAAACCCCAAACAAACAAACAAACAAACAAACAAACAAAAAAAGCACAATTAACTCATGTTTTTATCATAGTTATATACTGAACAAACTGTATAGCGAGTAATATAGTGACTTTGTCTGGTGCCCAGCGTGGATTGTGTTTATAGATGCAATAGCATTATCTTTATAATAGTGACTTACACAGTTGTACTTTTATCGTCAAATTGAAAGCAATTCACTTCTGCAAAAAAAAAAAAGTCATGCACACAAGGCAAAGCACAAAGAGACTTAAAAACATCTTTATACCCGCTACCTGTTACATCCCATTGTTCTCCATCTCCTGCTGGACTACAGCCGCCTTTCAGTCGCAAGAGAGAGAGAGAGAGAGAGAGAGAGAGAGAGAGAGAGAGAGAGAGAGAGAGAGAGAGAGAGAACGAGAGAGGCATTCGGTACAAGAGTTATTCAGAAGCATAAGCATTATTTTGCAAACAAGCTCGGCCCGAGCTGGTTTGATGCTGCAGGCCCTGCAACAAAGGAGGCACTGGAGGAAAAGTAACAGTACAACAGTCAGATATACTCATCATGCGGCCTTGCTTTTAATTCTCAAGCCATAAATCCGCATTTCAAATCAATTTTTTTTTTTTTTTTTTTGCAAAAAGCATTGAAAAGAGCTTATTTGAGGATTAAAATAAGTGTTAAGACTTTGTAAAAAGAAAATTAGATGAAGCATCAAATGAAACAGTGGAGCGTATGTGTCATTGACTCAATTGGATGCCTCTTACCTGGGCTACCGGGTGTTCCTGCAACTCCAGGATAACCATCAAGACCGTCATCACCAGGTAAACCGGGCTGCCCTTTGAGACCCTCAAGCTCCGCCCCTGGCTCTCCTCTAAGTCCAGGTGCACCAGCCTGACCTGGTACACCAGAGAAACCTTTTTCTCCTTTCTCTCCTTTGGAATCGTCTCCCTTTTGACATAAACAACACCTGGTATCACCATCCTACGGAGATGATTGAAGACTACTTTGGGAATGGATGGATACTGGACTCACTGGAAGACCGCGACTGCCAGGGAACCCAGGCAGACCGACTCTGCCCGGCAATCCTTGTTTTCCGAGTTCACCATCTTGCCCTGAAATCCCAGGGTCTCCACGATAGCCTGCGGACATTATACTGCATCCACATAAAGGAATACACCGGACAACAATGTAACCCTTTCATACACCCTGTAACCTGATCACATGATAAGCTGTTTTTAGATCAGTTTTGGATTCCAAAATGAATTCAAAACAGCTGTCAGACCTAACTCAATAACAATTGTGTTCCCCAGTGATATTGACACAGTGTCGATTGTGTGGGTCTGATTGCTGATTAATCATGTCTTAAATCCATTGAGATGCAATTATTACTCGCCTAAAACTCTTAGCAATTCTATGGATTTACTCTCATCCACTTTACTCTTGAAAGAAGAGGGACATGAATCTGCTGTGGGAAATTGAGCGACATGTACGAAGACCTCCGCTACGGCATTGAAACAGGAGGGCAGAACATTTCATTCTTGAAATATTTTCAACCTCATTCCTTCATTCAACAATCTATTCGCTATTATATTCAGCGCGGCTCTTCATCCTGTTATGGCCATTGCAATCTAAAAGCGAAGCACACCTTTTAGTGTCGCCACAGCTGTGTCTCCTTTTCTGCCTCTTGGACCTGGCTCACCAATGAGCCCCGCAGTTCCCTGCAAGAAGACATCATCATGGAAAGTGAGCAGTCACTTGAACCATGTCGGATTTCTCTTACTGGCAATCCATCCACTCCCGCGGGGCCCTGGTCTCCAGTGTCCCCTTCCCGTCCAAACTCTCCAGTCATCCCAGGGTCTCCAGCATCACCAACGGGCCCGGCTGGCCCCCGTGGAGAGTTGTTCACGGTGCATTCACATTGCCCGTGATCCCCTAAAAAGACAGAAACAGCAGATTCACCGTAACTTCAAAAAACAACAACCCCCCACCCCTTCTTTTTTTTTTTTTTTTTATTTTGCAAAAATAGTACCTTTGACTCCTTTGAAACCTGCATTTCCAGGCCTTCCTCTACCACCAGGAGACCCCTTGAAGAAATCTCCCCCTTGATATGTCAGGCGGAAACATTGGACTCTTACTGTCCCAACCCATGGTTGTGATCCATGATGATGATCCTTTCCAGTCATCCCAGGGTCTCCAGCATCACCAACGGGCCCGGCTGGCCCCCGTGGAGAGTTGTTCACGGTGCATTCACATTGCCCGTGATCCCCTAAAAAGACAGAAACAGCAGATTCACCGTAACTTCAAAAAACAACAACCCCCCACCCCTTCTTTTTTTTTTTTTTTTATTTTGCAAAAATAGTACCTTTGACTCCTTTGAAACCTGCATTTCCAGGCCTTCCTCTACCACCAGGAGACCCCTTGAAGAAATCTCCCCCTTGATATGTCAGGCGGAAACATTGGACTCTTACTGTCCCAACCCATGGTTGTGATCCATGATGATGATCCTTTACTCACATGATCCTTTGGGCCCTGGGGGACCTCGAGAACCTGGGCGACCAGGGTTGCCTGGCAGTCCTGCACTGACAGCAGGACTTCCCTGCTCCCCCTGTTGGCCCTTCTCTCCTGGCTCCCCCTTTCTTCCAAATGGACCGGCGTAATCAAACACTGAAAGAGTTAAAACAGTACGTTGAACTTTTGATCCTCGATGACGTTTTTATTTATTTATTTATTTATTTTTTCCAACTGGGCAACAACTTCGGTTGTGATTTATTTGAGGAAATAGGACATATCCATAACAAGTTTGTTGTGACTCATTTGATAAGCAGTATTGTCATCATTTTTTGTTTTTCACCGGGAACCCAAACCTTGTTGCTGTGTGTACGAAGCGGTACGTCCTGGTGGCCCGGGAATGCCTTGATCTCCTATCGGTCCCCTCTCACCTTGGGGACCTTGCTCACCAGGTGGACCAAGGGCACCAGCTTTGAAGGTTAAAAAACAAACAACGACAAATCCACTTTCATTATTGGCATCTGGGCTTTTTATTTTTTTTTTTAATAAGTCATCATTACATTGGCTGCTCTAAATGAATTACAAATGTCCAAAAAAACATGGTGACTTCTTGATTTGTTAATTATCTCTTTGAAATCTATTTTCATACCTGATGAGGACCAGGGCCATGATCCAGATGAAATCAATTCCCCGGCTTCGCCTAGCACTCCCTGAAATACAAAATTAGCACAATTCATGTATTCTTCACACACAAAAAAACTGTTTTGGTGTGTTTTAAGGATAGCCATACTATTAAGCACATTAACTGATCAGTAAAAAGTTAGTGGGGGAAATTGAGGTGCCGTCTCTTACTTGGCTGCCACTAGCATGTGTGTTGTTGATTCAATCCTACTAGTTTGTGGCCTGAAAAATATCTTTCCTCTGTATTTTTTTTTGCCCATTTTCTAAAGTTAACAATTACTCTTTCTGGTTTGCACAACTCATCAATTCTTGATCTTCTCCAGTTATGGTCTGTCAAAGTAATTTTATTCAATGCCTTAGCGTGTCTCCAACGGATGCTCCCTCATTAACACATAGCTTCATTCTAGCAGCAAAATTTTGTCATGGATGATTTTCGTTTTATTTTACACACAAAAAATTGAAAATTTGTGATTGAAGATTTTTGCAAATTTTGAATGATGTCACTTTGATTCATGTTGAATTTCACAATCAAAATGAAAATATTCACCTTTGGACCCTGTCTGCCTATTGGTCCTTGGTCCCCCGCATCTCCCTGAAAGGGAGACTCGTTAATGACATTATATTAGACTACCTCATCATTGAGTGTTGATGTGCCATACAAGCGTACCCTTGGTCCAGGCCTCCCAGGTGCACCAGGTAGACCCTACAAATGAGTCCAATGATGAGGATAAAATGAAACTCTGGCCTGCAAGAAATCTGACTTGAAGATACAGAAAATTTCTCACGCGTGATCCGGGGAAGCCTGTAATTCCCGTTTCGCCTTTGTTGTCAGCCTGTAATCAAGCAACAATAACACTGCCTTGATGTAGAAAGTAATGAAATAAGAGGAATAAAGTGGAAGGCGCAGCGGCGAATACCGACCAGATCTCCTGCTTCTCCTTTCAAGCCCTTAGGTCCAGGAGCGCCCTGAAATGATGTGGATATTTTAACACCTTCCAATCAAGACACATTTCTTTCAGGCAAAGGAATGACACTGGAGCAAATGTACCCACCAAGGGTCCGAAAGGGGGCTGACTGTGGGGATAAGTGGAGTTTCCTGGGAGTCCTGGGGGTCCAATATCACCCTGTGGTGCAAGAACGATGACACACACACACACACACACACACACACACACACACACACACACACACACACACACACAAAGAATACGAAATTGATCGACCATATTTACTCAATCAGACATCTAATGGATAGGAGCCTTCGCCGAACCTGGTCGCCCTTCATCCCCTTTAGTACATTTGTCACGGCCTGTGCAGAAAACAAATCGTGCCAATGAAGCAAATTGAGTGACAGAGGTCTTCCACATGCAAAATTAACAACTGAGTCCGAGTTACCTTTGGTCCACGAGGACCCGGTACCCCCGGTGGACCCTAGAAGAAGACATAAACAGCAACATTTTAGCCCTGACATGTAAGAAGTCTTAAAAATGAACACAATCTGAAATATACAAAAGTACATGCATTTTATTGTGAACATATTTATCATTTTTTATATTGTTATACCTTTGGTCCTGGGATCCCTGGGTTTCCCTGCCATCCTCGGTTACCAGGGGGTCCCTGTTAAATGTCACATCAACAGTCAATAGGTAAGTATACAACTGGTTTCACGACAATATAGAGCAGACCTGGGCAAACCCCATCCAGTGGGTCACATCTGGCCCAACACCCGTCTCCGGCTGGCCCTCGCAGCCTTTATGAAATCAAAACCTTTAATATGTGTGCTCTTATTTAGAAAGTGGTGCATTTGTTTAGTTGTGGACGGTACAAGCGAGGCAGCGAGTAGGTGGCGCAACTCTGCTGTGCTGCCAGCTTTGCAACATTTCTGCAAATTTTTTGTGACTTTTTGTACTCTCTTGTGACTATATTTCAGAAAAGGGAGAGCAAAAAAGTGCCAACAGTTATCTTCCTACCTTTCTGTACATATCTATCTATCTAGCTAGCTAGATAGCTCGTCAGGATGGTGTATCAATTTCTTAGTATCGAATAACAAGACACTCACAACTATCAGTTGGATATCACCTCCACTCATAAAGTCATTACCGGTAGTTAAATGATGTCAACAAAATCAGACCACTTTGGTTCTATCTAATATGATTTTTGAGAGACCACTGCGCCCAAGGAAAAACAACCAATCAGGGGCAGAAGGCGTGACCGACGAGATGCTAATCATTCGTGCGGAGACTTGTGGATACACGTGTGGTGGGCACACTCCTGCAGCCTCGCGCTGACCAGGTAGCTTGGGCTTCAGGAACTTTGCTGAAACTCTGCTGGAAAATCCACCTCAGGAAAACTTAGTGTTCACCCTTTGTTTGCTAACAACTGGGCATAAGGATGGCAGAAGCGGAGCGAAGGGCTCTCAGGCAGATGAGGATTCGAAAGCCCCACGAAATTAGTAAAATTCCCACTCAACAGTGTCGAACATGTTTACCTACCTGCCTTTTGTACATTCTGATGATAAAAATGTCAAACTGCTAAAATTCAGTGTTACAGTAGGACTCCATTATGAATGTGTGGTTTTGTTCAGGACACTGGCGGCCTGGGTGGTATTCAAATCTTGCTTGACATTTTCAAATTTAAAACTCCCCGGTAGAATATGTGAAATATGAAATATCTTCATGCATCAATACAAATCCAACAATCGTGTCTTACAAATAGTCCATTGGCTCCTGGTGTTCCTGCGTCTCCCTGTGGAGAGATGATCAAAATATTCATATGCTCTGACTGCAGCAAAATGCGGGTGGAATGTCAACATCAAACAAATGCTTCATGTGATATATTCTTCACCCTGAATCTCTGCATGTACACGGTCACATCCAAGGTGTCGCCCTTCTCCCCCTTCCTGCCCACTTGTCCCTGAGAGGAAACACAAAATCAGGTACCGAAAGTACAACTTGCATGTTACTATCAAAACCTTATTGTAGGACGCTTACAGGAAAACCAGCTGCCCCTTTACGTCCGATTTGACCTGGGATGCCAGAATCGCCGGCTGTCCCGTTACAGCCATCTGCACCGGCCTTTCCTCTGGGTCCCGCTTGTCCTGGGTGGCCCTAAAGAGAGGGATAACCAATTCACTGTGTTTCTATTTTAAAATGTGTCCACAAAAGAAGTTACTTACGGGAATTCCATCATTTCCAGCGAAGCCAGGTACGCCTGTCATTCCCTGCGGACAAATGATTTAGTATGCAACAAGAGTATATGTAGTATATATTTTTTTCTTTTTCCAAAAAAATTACATATCAACAATTTACCATATTTCCTTTGGGTCCAATGTTGCCATGCCGTCCAGTGTCACCTTTGTGCCCCTTTGGCCCTTGGATGCCTGGTTCTCCTGGACTCCCCGGGGGTCCCGTGATGCCTTGGGGACCAACGGGCCCATGTTGACCCTGATGTTGAAGGAAAGAGTAAAGAAAAACAAGCGTGAATAATTTCAATGTCCAGGATTAGAACAGACTGGAATTACATAGTCAAATCTTTCAGCATTTTTTTTGGTTTAATGACAGCTAAATTTAAACAAACAAACAAACCCCCCCCCCAAAAAATGAGGAAATAGCAGTCTATAATATTGTGAAACTTATAGTAATACAGTATACAGTAGTAGTAATTGTGTGTGAGATTTGGCCACCAGGCGGCGATATAATACAGCCATGCAGGTAAACAAAGAAGACTTCCACTCAACAATTTTGTGTCTGTGTCCAAAGTCACGGAATGTGTTCTTCAAAGGCCGCATTTTTCGGCTGCATGACATCATTTCAGCACGACTCAATCGCGCGTGGTTTCCGAATTCTACAAAGACAATTCACAGGCTGGGTCCTTCGACGCCTTCAACGGCTCTAGTTGATTTTCATTTTATTTTCATCCATACATACAATTTTATTTCATGTATTTTATTTCAAATGCAATGAAGTCAGAATCATTTTATTAATGACAGAATAATCACTCGTTTTAGCAACTTTGAGAGATGACCTCATGTGCACTGTCTTGGAGCTCTTTCAGCATTTAAAGCTCTTTACATCCATCTAGTGGCCAACTTCTGTTACTACAGCAGTCACATGCCGCTCATAGAGGACTTGTTTGTAGAGCAAAAATAGCCATTCGAAGTCAAGAAAGACAAATACAAAGATTAAAAAAAGAACAACATTCTTGTTTACATTCCTCTGTTTGTGCCTGTGCTGGCGGCGATGGTGTTGGTCTGAGACGTGGGTTGAAGTGTTGGACTCTGGAGACAGGAATGACTTTGCAAATGATTGCGAAACTTGTGGTCGGTGATATCATGGGAAACGACGTTGTTTGTTTGGTCTGACAGTCCGAAAGATCAGCCAGCGACGACCGCTGAGGTCAGGGGGCCTGAACGTGTTCTTGTGAGAACCAACAAAAACACCCACGGACAAATAGTTTGGGAGCTTGATGAGCAGGACTCCAGCCCAGTGTGTGTGTGTGTGTGTGTGTGTCACAGATTGTCACCATCTTCATTTTATATTTGTTTATGATTTGTGCACATCAGTGGTGGCAAGTCATGAAGTACAAATACTCATTCCTGTATTTAGGGATTATTTTTTTCTTCTCGATATCACTCTTATAACGTTCGAACACATTTTTACTTTTACGACCTACATTTGAAAACAAAAATATACTTTGTACTTTCTTCTCAAAATGGTGAGTCAAAATAAACTGACAATATTGTTGCCCAAGTGGAAACACCCGCTTAGAATTTCCATATGGCCCTGTTCAAAATTAATCAAACACATTTAAACTAGTATTAAAATTGAGTCGGGAATTTGGTGAGGCTCAACAAAACTTGAAATGTTCTATTCATCGTTTTCGGATTATTTTGTTTTCTAGCAGAAGCCTGAATGTTTTGTGCGAACACTGACTGCTATTTCAAATTGTTTATGATTCCCTCCACCTTGACAATGGCCACAGTTCAAGATGAAGTCAAATAACCCAAAGCATGGTGCTGCCACAGCTAATCCTTTGGTGCAGGGGTGCGAATACCAGTTCACGATCGACCAGTAGGTCGAGGACTGGTCCCAAGTCGATCCGATCGAGGGAAAAATAACAACAACCCAAAACATTTTGTGTCTGTGTGTGTGTTATTTATATTATATATTTTTATGTTGGTACACTATGCACCCTGAGCATTCTATTCGTCTCACTTTCACGAAAAGTATTTTGAAAAACAACTTTAAAAAACAGGTCACCTTTAACCTACGGCGGCGCGTGAGTTTGCATCAGCGGAAGTTGTTTGCGGTCAGTAGTCTGGAATTGCAGCTTCAACCCAGAGCTGCATCTTTTCTTGTTATTATTATTCTCATTAAGAGTTTGTTTCATTTACAATTCAGCGAGGACATTGGCAAAGAATGGGAATATGGAGTGCCGGGAAAAGAATTTTAAAACCGTACACGTGAGCTTGGATCGTCAACGCGCTGCGAAGTGCGTCCCTTGCCTCCGTGTCACGTCTCCACTCAGGTAGGCAGTAATTTGCTTTCACAAACTTTTGTGTCTACTTCGTTTTTCTGTTTGATTCATCTTAGGGGCTGTTATGGCTTTTGCTCAGTGAGTGCGTGTGGTAACGGGTCGATAAATATGCCAATCTGAACACAGTTTTAAATCATTTGCTTGAAAAAAAATCATTTCCACCCAGATTTCATTTAATTATCAAAAAATGACTAAATACTCAGATGACTGAATTCTATTGTATATGTGCGCGTGCGTTTGTTTGTGTGCGTCAAGAGAAGTTGTGTCTTTGCCCGGCATTTCGAATGTTTGTGTTTTGTCTCGCATCAATCTGGGCCGTGCAGCTGTTCAGACAAGACCAACACTATTTTCCCCAAACAAATTCAACCAAAATCCGTCGTAAGGGGGCGCCATAATAACACGGATTCCAAGTCATGCACAGACCCGCACCTCTCAATTTAAAGAAGAAATCTGTGGAAGTGGCCATAAAATCCATCCACCCAAATAGCCTCATTAGGGACAGTTTCGAGTCTTCAATTAACTTAACATGCATGTTTTTGGAGTGTGGAGAGAAGCTTCTCCATGCAAGCATTAGGAGAACATCCATGTATGATCATAAAATATCCAAGAAAAATTCTTATTCTTCTTATCTGGTTTTATCTTCCGTAAAGTGGATGAAATGTGAGTGTAGATGTGCTAAACCTTCTCTACAGCAGAACTGGACAAATTACAGGCAAGATTAGGATCAGACCGTTATGAGGGCGGTCAATGTGTAAAGAAACAGATGTGTCTACCTATTGTTGTATTGCAAAAGTCCCTTCACAAGATGACGCGTGACGCACCACCACACTCGGATGCATTCATAGATTCAATCAAAACCCTGATTGAGATTTTGTGAGATTAGTCATTTCATGGAGACTTTTGGCGCGGTCAGAGTACAAAGTAATACATTTGCTCCGATTTATGCAGGAGGCGTCGGGTGAGTTGGACTTTTATAATTCGATTGTGTTTGTCTTCGCAACAACTTCATTAAAAAAGAAATAAAAATAAAATAAATCAATGACCGTTTGCCAATAAGCATGGAGAGGAAGTGATTTCCCACAGTTTGTACTTGAACTCACACAACAATGGCGGTGCCCATCGTGAATGCAAAATGTCAATTCAAGTATTGATGACAACAAGAAAGATGCACGTGGAGATGACCATTGGCCTTGTTGGAGCTGACTTCACTTTAGAACACTCCACATTCTTTCGAATCGCTCTGCTGTCACCTCGTTTCCTTCATTCTTCGTCCTCGGCTCGCCATTGTTATCTGCCCCTCACTGGTTCCATCCAGCATTTCCTGCCTTCCTCTCCCTCAACTCTCTTTCTAAATCGCCGTCAAAGTCTACTTCCCCTCATTCGGACGCCAAGGGGGACAATCGCTTGACAAGGAGAGCGGATAACAAATAGACGACATCCTGCTGTTGTCTGTGCTCGCTAACGCCGAACCGAAACAAGTTCATGGCGGTCGAGCGTAACCTCGACATTTGAATCCTCCAAATGTCTTACGAGTTGACCCAAAATATTTGGGGGCACAACACACATCAAAGGAGCACTTTTCCTCTTTTCCGATGGAAGTCAGCGAAGACCTTAAGAGTGATCAGTGCTTCCCAATCCGCTCAGAAAACGGTCAGGACTGATAATCGTAAAAGCTGCTCGATAATTCTGATTGCAGGCATCAAGACTCACAAGTCATTCACCGCAAGAACAATGACAAGATGTAGAATTTGAAGTTCTTCTCCTATTTCCTCTTCTACAACTATTCTGTCGGCAATGAAAGCTCCGTGGCACCACGAGTAATACCACAACAGGGGGGGTCTCAAACTCCGTTCCTCGAGGGCCACTTCCCTGCATGTTTTCCATCTCTCCATGCTGCAACCCACCTGATTCAACAAAGAAAAGCTTTGTAAAAACACAATGATTGCACAATTAGACCAGAATTAATTCATTAAGCAACAGACAAAAAAAAAAAAAAAAAAAGTTTGCCAATAAGCATGGAGAGGAAGTGATTTCCCACAGTTTGTACTTGAACTCACACAACAATGGCGGTGCCCATCGTGAATGCAAAATGTCAATTCAAGTATTGATGACAACAAGAAAGATGCACGTGGAGATGACCATTGGCCTTGTTGGAGCTGACTTCACTTTAGAACACTCCACATTCTTTCGAATCGCTCTGCTGTCACCTCGTTTCCTTCATTCTTCGTCCTCGGCTCGCCATTGTTATCTGCCCCTCACTGGTTCCATCCAGCATTTCCTGCCTTCCTCTCCCTCAACTCTCTTTCTAAATCGCCGTCAAAGTCTACTTCCCCTCATTCGGACGCCAAGGGGGACAATCGCTTGACAAGGAGAGCGGATAACAAATAGACGACATCCTGCTGTTGTCTGTGCTCGCTAACGCCGAACCGAAACAAGTTCATGGCGGTCGAGCGTAACCTCGACATTTGAATCCTCCAAATGTCTTACGAGTTGACCCAAAATATTTGGGGGCACAACACACATCAAAGGAGCACTTTTCCTCTTTTCCGATGGAAGTCAGCGAAGACCTTAAGAGTGATCAGTGCTTCCCAATCCGCTCAGAAAACGGTCAGGACTGATAATCGTAAAAGCTGCTCGATAATTCTGATTGCAGGCATCAAGACTCACAAGTCATTCACCGCAAGAACAATGACAAGATGTAGAATTTGAAGTTCTTCTCCTATTTCCTCTTCTACAACTATTCTGTCGGCAATGAAAGCTCCGTGGCACCACGAGTAATACCACAACAGGGGGGGTCTCAAACTCCGTTCCTCGAGGGCCACTTCCCTGCATGTTTTCCATCTCTCCATGCTGCAACCCACCTGATTCAACAAAGAAAAGCTTTGTAAAAACACAATGATTGCACAAT